GAAAACTTCAGCATTTTAATGTAAATTAATTTAAACTGACCATAATTTACATCTAGATGTTAAGGTTAATTAGTGTTTTTAATTTGAAATTGTACACTTAATGAAACACACCTTTCTCATATTTCAAAGTTATAGTGAACTTATTTCAAAGTTATTAGTGAAAACCCCCATGTTAAATGGTGCTTTGAGCAAGAAATCAGTATACTACAATGTAAGCCTACACAGAYCACAAAAAACTGATCAGATTCAAAATACAGTCTTTAACATATTTTTAAATTATACGGTTAATGGATCCATTGCAATGCATCACAAATTAAAAAGGAAAGATAGTAATTTAGATATGGAAAAMCATAAAAATTGAAAAAGCAATTAAGAATAAAACATGACCAGCAGTGAGAATTTCAAGCATTATTTTCTATCATCATCTACACAAAACTGGAATTGAAGTTGTTTAGACTACGTTTTCAGTCAAATGATTTTACCTAAAATAAAACAAGTAGTGYATATTTTATGAAAATAAAATTCCCCTCAGAATTCTTCAGAAAGAAAGCCTTGCTTCTCTTTGTACCTTCATGTCTAAGTAATTCACATTAATTTTCAATTAATGGACCTTGTTTATATGTTGCCTACATGCTCTTTTGATTTTTGGGTTTAATAATATTAAAGTGATAAATCAGATGAATCCTCTAGTGAGAAATCCTGCCAGCTTGCAGAGAAGAAGTACCAAATGAGAAAGTAATATGCCAGATCTACAGACAGGCTGATTGCCTAAAAGGCATCTGTCTCTATTTTTGCTTGTTTATCGAGAAAAGGGGTCCTCCATAGGACCAAAGAGACTCATAATTTTTGTAACATATGTAGGGATTGTGTCTGTAGCTGAGACTTGCTTTTGGGCCAATATTCCAGCAGTTATGATGCTGACTACTAATATTGAATGAAAAGAAGAAGTGAGCAATTTGCCCCTAGCATACTGTGATTAAAGAAACATCCCCAAACAAAACCCAAACAACTTACTGCCTGTGCATCAAAAGCTTGCTGGAGACAGGCTTGTGACTGTATGTGAAGCCCAAGGATGCAAGCACTGGGCTTTCTCCTACTTGATACTTAAACCATGTCAGAATTCATTCTGTTCTAGTCTAAGCATGGCAACAAGCTGCAGGTTTTCTTTAAAAAACACAGGCCCATTTCAGTAGCAAACATTTAGACATCTCTAGGGTGATGCAGCAGCTGAAGAAATTTGAGCGATCTCAGACTAAAATTCRAAATAATCAAAACCCAGTCAGTTTAAAAATAATCAAAACCCAGTATAAATGTCTCCCTTTTTTCTTTCTCATTAGCTACTTACTTGTTTCATTAAGCTTCAGAATGATTTTTTCAAAATTCCAACTCAAATAGTCCAAAAAGTAATCTCATATAGTTGCATTTAATTATGTGTAATAGATTGGCTTAGAACACCCACAATCATTAATATTTAATGGAATTATAAACTCCTGAACAGGTAATCAAGGTTCAGAATTTTGCAAATTAAGACTTCAGCCTATTCAGGTCAGTAACAGTGTCATTACAAAGCCTGTCTCTGAAGAAATCCTTCTTGTTAATTTGGCAGTCTTTTGAGAGTGGTCTCTAACTTTTCTTGAAGGGAAAAATTAGGTATAGGGRGAAGAATGTAAGCTAAATGGTGATATTCCAAAGTGTTTTAACCATCTAAATTCAGCTCCTTTATAACAAATCTTCAGGTTTTCTTGATTGGTTTCCACTCATACATGCAATCAATTTATCAATTAAAATAGCATAGAGCATGTTGTTTAATTTCAAACTGGAAAACTTGTAAYTGCTGTGGTCTTATTTTAGTGTCCAGGTCAGAAATCCTTTCTGTTAAAAACTGGCAAGTGAAAGCAGAAGCTAGGAAAGAGCGTTTCAGTTTCAGAGGGTTTGATAAAATAATGAGAGCTTAATTTTAAGTAGAGTCCAACCTTTTTTCTTTTATGAAGACAAACAGAAATAATTTACACTGGAAAAGATTTGCTACTACACATGGAGAGGCAGAATCATCCTGGAAAATACCCTAGTGGTGTAACAGGTAGCCTAGCTCAAAGATCCTGCTTTTTGTAGAAACTAAGTTTAATAAAAGATACATATGTCCAAAATTTTATTCCAGCAAGGGATGACTGAGTAAACAATCAAATAATTCTGGCACTATACCATGTTAGGACACAGACACTCCAAAAATAACTTTCAGTATGAAGGCAACTAGATAAATAAAGTCTAATAAACAAGTAAAATAGATAAATAATTTTTTTCCTAGAACTTACTCCAGCATCCTATTCATCTACACACAGACTTAAAGTTACACTGCTCTCCAATATTTATGGCAGGTTTCTTTTCCTGGAGTAAATACATATCAGGGATTTTTCCAATACAAAATAATACAGCTATGAAATCAAAACCCTATAGTCAGAACTACTCTTATAAATTAACTATTATAGATGTATATTGTCTCCCATGAGTCAGGAGAACTGCTAGRTCTGAGTATTTTAACCTGACATCAGTTTTGACTGCTAGCATTTCATCTAGCCCTAGATTGTTGACATTAATGTCTTAGAGGCTGAGACAGCTTTTCATGTCTCAGTTTAGGGACRTGAGAAGGAACGGAGAAAGTGAAAATCTGAACACTTCCTGATACACATAGTTTTGGTTAAGGCCATATGCTCAATATTCATGTAAGAACATAAGAAAGCAAAAATCTGCAAATTATGATAGAAACCTGAAAATCCCTGTTTTAATAGGCAATTTTAAACAAAACAGGATTTTACTATTTGGAAGATGTATCAAGATGGATAAAGCATTCCGTATACTGAAAATCACTATACTTTATGTATTTATGGATATCAACCTTTTATAGCTCTTTAAATATTGTAAATTTGACACAATATTGTGTGTGGGAGTTACAAGTATTAGTATTTAACAGAAGCAAATAATTAATACCTTCAGGTATTAATTATTCTAATTTTACTAATTCCAATGCAGCTTAATTGGGCAGTAGAGAGGAACACAGAATTAAAATCAGATTCATGCTTCSAGTACACACAAAAATGCTTCTTACTATTAAATAAGCAGAACAGAGTATTTTTCATTAAAATGGTTTTGAGAGTAGGTTTTTTTATTATTTTTTATTTTTTATTTTTTTAAAATCTGATTCCAAATTAGTATAGCTGTAGATCTTTTGGTTTTGGAAAGTTTTGATACTTCCCCTGTGAATCTCATATACTTCAAATGTCAATGTTTTACAACAATTCTAAAGGAAATAGGTTTTTCTATTTGCTGTTAAGATTGTTGGGTCACAATATTTTTGCACTGAAACATCTGTGATCCTTTTCTCACTTTGTTCCTTCCTTTTTTTTTTTTTTTTTTTTTTTTTTTTTTTTTTTTTTTTTTTTTTTTTAGATTTATGATCAATATTTTCATTGTCAGCCTGTNAACATCTGTGATCCTTTTCTCACTTTGTTCCTTCGTTTTTTCTTTTTTTTTTTTTTGTTCTGTTTTCAACTTCCTTTAGTTTTAAGATTTATGATCAATATTTTCATTGTCAGCCTGTGCTTTCTTTTGTCTTTCTTCCAACTTCAGATATTCTGTGCTCATTTTAATGCAAGAAAGTGAAGCCTACACATAAAATCCCCAAAGCCTTCACAATCACCAACATGCCCAGGGTCCCAGACATCATACAGCTTCAACCTGAGGCAAATTCATTAACATGAATCCCTACTGGAAGCTTTGTGATAGGCAACTGTAGCAGAGCCTCTTGTGCATAGGTACCGCCAATACTACTAGATTATTTTTCACTGACCTACTTGTCCGTAGTAAACTCACTTAGGTCAATTTGATGTTCAGATGCTAGCAGCTATAGCTGCAATTGAAATCAATGGACACTTTGCTCTACAGTTTCACCTCAGAGGAAAGAAACTCTCAGAGGGCTAGGAGACTGCACTGGTAGTCATACTTGGAAGAGGCACAAAAATCACAATGCATATCAGCACCACAAAACTCTGTCAGAATCTACATCCCATTACAATAAGAATCTAAATTAGCAAAGCTCACCACTTCATATGGGCACAATCATGGAGTGAAAATAGAAGTTTTCAATAGTGCTTTTAAACTACCTCCCAAGACACCAACGCATACCAGAAACTTCTGAAGAGATGCAATACACCCTCTTTCCAGTGTCCAGAATTGCAGTGTTCTAGGCAATTAATTCAGTAAAATTACCTCAACAGGTAATTTTCTGTATTTAGAAAAATTAGAAACAAGGTTAATTCTGTTTTATTAAAAAAGATCAACAAGAACACAATGGTGTTTGTCTCTTTTATTATGAAAGATACAAAAACAGAGTCTAGTGAAKCTATCATTAGAAACATGAACATTTTTGAACCAAGTCTCTATTTATATACACAAAATTTCCCAAGTGGAACAATATCAAATGTGAGACACATCAAAATATACCATATATATACAAGTTCAGAGATTTAATATCTCTGTTACTCTATACAAAAAATCAATTCCTACCTGTTTTCCACAAGTACTTGAAATTAAATTTATGAGACAACACAAGCAAAGTAAAGCAGAATCTAGGGAATGTTCTGGTCTCTGAATGGCTATTTCATAAAAATAGTACAAAATAACAAAGTCAGATTTTCAAGTCAGGCTGAATATTCTGCCAAATAGCCCATACTCCAAATTGATGTAGGTAAAAGAACTAAAACTATCACTGATTTTTATTGTCATCAAACCAGAAATATCTCAGGAGCTGAAGATGCACTGGTTTCTGGATGACTAATCAGCTACTAGGAAAAGTAAGCATTTTTATTTATTTTTTAAAAACTCTTCCCTCAAACAGAAAAGCCAAATAAAATACTTGAGCTTGCTTTTCCATGATCAGACATTCTGAAGACACATCACTCTGTACGGTTTTAACTGGAACCAACTACTGCTTAATTGGTAAGGCACTTCTTCCTTTGGATCAGTCCACTTCCCTACATTTTAGTTTAGCTCCATTTCACACAGAGAAGTGATTTCAGCTATGCCATTTGTGACAGCAGAAGGGATGTTGTTAAGAACTTTTGCTCTCCAAGCACAGAGGGCCTCAACAATACCTTCTGGATTGCTTGAACCCAAATCACACAGTGAATATACGGCTGCCAGCTGCACACCCCAGGGAACACCTGCAAAAAGTTAGCACAAATCAGCTTATAGGGACTTTGAGATGCAAGAATGTTTTTTGGAATCTTGAATCTATAGAAACTATTATTCAAGAACTGAAAATAAAACACATCAACGGTTGTGATAAGAACGTAGCAAAATGACAACCTGCACACAAATTCTGTAACATTTTATACTAGCACTTTTCAGTTTTCTCAATTCAGCAACTTTTCAGTATTCAAAGGACATACAAGAGCTGAGCATCTAGTGACTTTAGTTAAGAGTAACCAGACTTATGAAAACAGTCAGGTTTATACCRAGTCTGAAACAAACACCATACACACACCACCAAGCTGAAAGAACCTGAGATTGCAAGGAAGAGAGATTATATAAGTGGTTCAAACCAGCTCCCTAACATCAACCAATGCCTCAATGCAAAACGTACTTAACATCCAGAATAACTTAGCAATGTGGATCTCTGCTGCCCTGCCTTGTTTTGTCTCATCAATATCATGGACTGTCTTTCTTCCATTACAACAATCTTGCTATAGTAACCTTCAGCATAAATTGCTCAGGTAGAAAATGAGCTATTACTGCTCATGTTAAGATCACCCTTTAAGTGATCTGTAATGCAGCTGATAGGCTCTTACATGAAACAGTCCAATTCCAAGATGTCTGAACCATCTCAGAATAGCTCTCTGCCTCAAACAGAAGGTAATACAGTTAATAGTTCATTAACTTTGTAAGAGAAAGGGACTCAAACYGGTAATTGTTTGACCTGTTATGCACTAATGTAAACTGCAAAAGCAGGTTGTTTTGMCATACATGYCTTAATTTATGTTCTGCTATTAGCAAAACTTCACATGGTGGATGTTACACTCAAGTTTCTYTAAAAAAAAATTACCTTCCTCTTTTGCATGCTGTATGAACAGTCCAATTACAGAACTAATATTCTTCACTGCAGCAAGATATCCTTCCTTCAAACCTATTTGTCCTAATCGACCTGAAAGAAAAAGAGTTACTATGTATCTGACTATTTAGACAGTCAACTTCCTGGATTTTATATTTCCCATCTGTCTCTTGAAGTATCGATAGAAAATGTAAAATTTTAAGTACAAAAATGCAATTCTTGTTACCACACTGTCTTGGGATCAACAGTTGTCCCATTCCTTGTGTAACTAAAGTCTCCAAGACATTTTTCATCAGATTCATTCAACTTCCCACAGGTTTACAACTTTAAAATGTAGAACTTAGAAAGAATGCAATTTTTGCTTAACAAACAATACCATAGAGCCTACATACTGAAAATATTTAGTGAAACTCAAACTATATCTATTTGCATCAAATACCAYCTAGATCCCAAATAAATTAATCTAACTTAAACTTATTATCACATTAAGTTGCATATAAAACCTTATTTTATACACTTTGCTGAAAACCATATGTCATGTAGTTGCATAATGGGAGGTTTAGTTTAGCTATTAGGAAAAGGTTCTTCACCCAAAGGGTGGCTGGGCACTGGAACAGGCCCCTCAGGGAACTGGTCACAGCACCAAGCCTGCCTGAGTTCAAGAACCATTTGAACAATGCTTAGGCATATGGTGTAATACCTGGGGCTAGCCTGTGCAGGGTAGGAGTTGGACTTCAATGATGCTAGTGGGTCTCTTCCACCTCAGGATTTCTATGAGTCTGTATGTAGCTACAGATGATTTAATTTTAAATCCATAAAACATGTTGCTATTTGTTACCATGAATCAATATAACACCTCTCAAAACTCAAGTACCTGCTTTCCACAGGCTGAGAAACAGAAAATATCTACATAAAGACCCAACAAAATGCAAAAATACTTCAACTTACTTTCCAGACAGGCYTGACACTTCCTTAAGGACATACTTACACAAAGGAGAAGTTCAACCAAGAATTTATATTACTTACCAATTAACCTGAGTGTCAATGCTATAACACCATCACGAATGGATTGAGCAGTTTCATGCCCCTTTCTCTTCTTTATCCAATTATCCATAGAAGGCCAAAGCACTTTGCTGTGAAAGACAAATTAGTATGAAAATCTGATACTGCATGAAGGGGTGGTTATAGTATGTGTTGGTATTCATACAATAATGAAGGCAAATTATCTTTTGTTTTGTTACTAACATTAGGTAGACTGACTTCACAGATATATATGAAATCATGTTACTTTCCAGTGTCTTACTGATATGTTCTCTACATTTCTTCTGACTAAAAATTCAGTTTGTATGTTACAAGTAGGACTTGATGTTGTTTTAAAACCTAAAAGAACACAAGGTAAGACTTTTTTAATCCTTAAAATTATGTTAATAGACATAGTTACCTATTACCAGCACAACTCACAGATGATCACCTTGGTAAGGCTTTAATTAAAACTACATATTTTTCACTGAAGCTAATTTGTATTAATTTTAGAATTATTTCACCAAAAATAACTTCTTTCCTATCTGAAAGTATGGAACTTATATACAAGACAATGATGATTACAAGTATCACTCATGTTATGTCACAGATAAACAAATGCCTACTAAGTCATGTAATCTCTACACAGAAAATCAAGGCTGTCAGATCAGTGTAGGTGTAAAAATGAAGCCTTTCAAACAAGGTTAAGTATGGTATCAGTCCATATCCTGGATTATAGGTTCAAAGAAAACTTAAGACATTGAATCTAAGTATTATAATTATTTTAGAATTAAAATAAGACTGACATCAAGATACTAATGAGTTATATTTCACTTTCAGCACTGAAGCAGTGCTATTTTCGTATCAGAAGTTCCACCCTCATTTTCTACTGATGGGGGGAGGGGAATTAAACAATTAAGTTCAGAAGAAGCCAATCACTTTGCTTCACTGACTGACAATTCATCTCAAAATCTTATATAGCTATTTTGAAAGCAATTCTTTAGCAGGACAGCTCTTAACAGGGTTTATTTCTTGGGACAATACCATAAAATCCTACATTTCCTCATTGATCTATCCTATCTTCTTCTTCTATCTTAAAATAAGGCACAYAAACACAGTAGTCTATGTCTTATCAGTTTGAAACATCTGATTTCTAAATAGCCATGCAATATTTTATTATTTTAAAAGTTAAGTCATAATGAATTTGGGAAACAAAAGACCACCACCAAAACAAACCACAGAAAAACCACACAGGAAAACATTTGAAATAACTGATTGCCACAATACCTTATAACATTATCGTGTGTCCAATCCCACTTCAAGTGAGAGCAGAGTAGATCAACAGCAAATATATACTGCCAAGCATCTTCACTGAGATCTTCTCCATACTGCTCACTCAGGTGAAATTCTACTTTTGTACATGACTGCATTTCTAAAAGCAGGTTTGAGACCATAATACCAGCATCTAAAGAGGAACTCTGGAATTTTAGAAGGTAATTATCTTAATGCAYGAAAAGTTACCAGCCCAGAACCAAACTGTTTACATATATCTGATACTGACTGTGCACAGCATCTTACACCATAAATCCAACTTTTGGGTTGAATTAATATGAACAARTAAGAGTACATAAACCAAAACCTTCAAGACTAGGTATCTTTCCTGACGCCTTTATTAAAAGGAGAGTTTGGGAAAAAAATACCCAAACAACAAAAACCACAGACCTCACACCCAATCTCTTATGTCCTTCTACRATTTGGGGATTTTTGTTTCTCTCATTGCACCATTAAGGTAAGAAGAATCTTCTTCCAGTGTAAGAAAATTAGACTAATATTGTTCATTTTCTAAATAATTTTAAAATTTGTTACCCTTTATTCTTCATTGGGGCTAATTTGCACGCCCCAAGTATTAATAATTGAAATACTTTCAATAGTTGAGGTAAATAAACATGCTGTGTGAAACCATTCTGCTAATTAAATAGCTAGGAGAAGAAAGGGAATTTACAACAAACATTCTTTGATTGTTTGAAGTATTAAGATTAAATAGCTAGAAGAAAAAAAAAATATAACAAACATTTTTTGAATATTTGAAGTATCAAGAAAAAAAATCTAGCCTTATCACATAAAATGAGTGGGTGCTGTGCAAATCTTTTCAGTAAAAAACCTCACATAACTGGCAAGTTCTGCCATGGTACAAGTYACTAACATGGCACACTTTGACCAAGAAATAATACCTATTCCATGTGAGTTTTACTTTCATAAGTAGAATAATCTTCTCATAAAATTATATATRTAACAGACTGTTTAACACAATCTACTTGAAACTTTTACTTGTATTTCCACCCAAGTAAAACAGAGCTTATGGATTGGATGATGCCATCTCCTATCAATACAGAAAATTCTGAGGTCCTTTGCCCCTGCAGCAGCAGCTCTCACATTTCAGAGATCCATAAATAAAGTAGGTAGTGTGAGTGCAGAAACATTTACTAAGATATTCTTATGTGTATCTCTACTSCCATGATACTGAAAGATGTAACCTAATAAAATGGAGAATACAAATTCTTTGCTAAAAATGCGCTGCAGTACAGCATAAGTCTGAATACCAGACCTTAATGCTAATCACAACTGTGATTTATTTGCAAAAAAAAACCCCAGATACAAATCCATGCCAAATTAACTCACTCCTGCACTAATGCAGGAGCTTTAGGGGGCTGTAATTTCAGTGACACCACATTAAATTCAGGGCTAGCTTCAGGGGTCAAAGGAAAAAATAAAAGATCATACAAACACCTAAAGGCTATGATGACAGCAGTAAGACTAACTGTATTCCTCATGGCAGTTTGTGAAGCAGCATGTTAGGACAGGGAATAGGTGAGATATTGTCATGGTTTAGAAATGGTATTCTCCAATTTAGTGCTCCCACTGAAACCATGCACTGCTAGATCATTTCCCTCTCCCTTCYTCTTCTCTGTGTCAGGGATGGAGAGCAGAATTGGAGGCATAAAAAGTAACGATCACAGGTTGAGATAAGAATAATTTACTGGAAACAGCAATAAGATAACAAACAATACCAGTGACAAATACTAATGATAGAGGGTACAAAAGAGAGACCAACAATTCACACAGAAACAACAATACCCAAACTCTCCCTCCATCACACTATTCTGACCYGGAAGGGACTCATTCCCCCAGGAAGAGACTCCCTTCCCCACATCCCAAGCAATAATGTGARGTGGTACAGAATAACCTCCAGGTCCTAGCCATTTCCCCTTTCGGCTACTGCAGAAATAAATACTGTCCTGGCCAGAACCAGGACAGCTATGAATCAGTATTATTTTGTTGATATTTACATAACTATTTTACTTCCAGGAAGAAAGCCTGGCAATTAATACGGTGTTTTCAAAAATATGGGGCCCTAGCCTTTAAACAAACACACAAGCCTGTTACGTGAACTCCTCCAGAAGTAAAGCACCTCTGGCWTTCCATCTGCATAATATGAATTTGCTCCCAGTGATTTCAAATTTTCCTCCTTGCAACATTCTTTTCAGGATGGTAATATGCGCCTGCTGAGAACTGACAGAAATTTTATTTGCCCAACACCTCAAAGACTTAAAGTGAGCTCTCACAGGTCATCCTTCTTCTGGCATCACTGATTTTGTAGTGATCATACCGACTGCTTATGAAATTAACCTTTTTTGTGATAAACAGGTATTTATAGTCCACCTTGCAAAAAGAGAGTGAATAAAAAGAGATAGGCTCATCATGAAATTAACTGTAATAAAGCATTACCTGTTAAATATGGAATTATGAAAGATAAAACCAATACATATTTTAAAAAGCAACAATACAAAGCAAAACAAAAAAAAAATCTCAAAAACTAGAACAGTTTGGCAGATGGAAAGAGTTTCCTCGTCTAACAAGACTCCAGTTAAAAGTTTGAAAACAATCTTTACTTTTAATGTTTAGTAGGTGGATTTGTATTTAACAGGGAAAACAATAAAAGTACTGTATTCTAGTAGGCTCTACACAACTAGGGGAAAAAGGCCTGAAGCAGCATTAGTTGTACAATTGTACAGTCTCGATGTGATATTCACACCCTTCATTAGAAAAGTAAGTTGCTTGATTTGATTTAGCCAGCAAAGTGACCAATGCAGATAATAGCTTATATTGACAATGAAAATAGACATTACCTGTTCCCAGTTGAGATAAGCACTTAAACAGGCCAGCATCTCATTGCTTGCACTTTGCCTGATGACTAATTGCATAGCTTTGTTAATTGGACCTTGGAAGACAAATATGTCGGGCCATACATTTGTGATAAATAAAATCAATTTTTCCGACTCTGGAAAATCTAAGGAAAAAAAAAGAAATAACAAAGCAAACTTTTAACATTTAAAAACAACAAAAATATATATCCAGGCATTAAAAGCTAGTACAGTAGCAAGGTAACTAGGAAAGGAGTCACATCACAACTGTATCCTAAGGAAGGGGAGTCATACTAGCACATCTCAGTCCTGAGACTAAATGAGAAAAAAAAGCCAAGAAAAAAAACAAACAAGAAACACCAGAAAAACCCCAACAAAACTTAAGCCACCTCCCCCATCATAATTTCAGTCCCTCTCCCATCATCATTCTTACTGCACTTTAGTTCACTAAGGAGAGTTGTCTTGGGAGCATTGAAACTGGATTCTTTTAGGAGTAAATGAAACTGGAAGATGCACTCCAACAACCTACTTAACACATTTCAGTCACAAACAAGCACTGTGATCACCATACCAAACTGGAAGTAGTCCAAAGGAAAAAAATAACCCACAATATGTGCTAATACCTTGCACCCATACACCTGTGAAATTTATTATTTTTTATATATATGTACATATATATGTAAAGGCCTGCAAAGAACTTTCATACAATTGAAATCTGATATTGCTCAGCAGTTTTCCCACACTTTGTCAGAGAAATTATATATTATGTAAGTTGTGAGCATATGTGAATGATGCATGCTAGTATTTATACTCCCACATATGTAAAAATTTGGGCAACTCCCATGTAATTGAAGAATCCTTATTCATTAAAGTAATTCAGAACAAGTATCTAACAACTATCAGTAACAGAAGACAGAGTTCCAGGCCATCAATGGGAAGCCAACAGACCCTTCTGAATACCAACACAGAGAGCTTCAAGGCAAGATAAAACAYGAGCATGCAGACTGTAAGCAATAACAAATAAAATATAACTTATTACTGGAATAAGTAAAAAAGTGGATACTACTTTCATGCATAAATGCTATATTGAAATACATAGGCCTGGAACATTATACAAAAACCAATAAAATCTGAAAAGCTAAATGTACCGTCCCTCTTTGCTTCAGCATAAGTTCGACGTTTTTGGAAAGATCTTAACAAGAAAGTATATCAAAATACATGAAATCAAGAAGCTTTAATAAGCATAAAGAATTTAGACTTCAATTAAGTGTCTTGGATGGACTTTCTACTCTGAAGCTGCTCATCATGTGCATAATTAACCTTTTGTCTATTGGAACATGGACTGTTGGTGAACTAGACTTATTGACATACGGCAACTTGAATTGACTGCCCAGGAAATTTGAAACACTTATAAAATTGACTCAGGGATAAATAAGAGTTCAAGGGGCATCAAACAAAAAAAAAAAAAAAAAAAAAAAAAAAAAAAAAAAAAAAAAAAAAAAAAAAAAAAAAAAAAAGGAGGGAAGAGAGGAGGGGTAAAAGGAAAAATAACCAAAAAGATAACATTTTCTTTATAGTCACTTAAGGCAAAATACCTGAATGGAGAACAGAAAAAAAAAACAGTAGACAAGTCATTAAGGCAATATAAGTTGAAAGAGGTAGTATTGACTGTTCAGATTGAATTTGGTAATTGTGTAGATTGTGTTGGCATAATTCTGATGGGAATATGTGAAACTACATGAAAGAGAACACCCTAAAATGCATAGTAATCAAATAAAACCAAACAAATTTTTAAAAGCCTAAACAGTCCTTAAGATGTATTTACAGGTGTTCCCACTCAAAAGATAAGTATAAAACCACAGAACAATGACCACAGAAATTTATGCAATTCAATGTATAGAAAAGAAAATCATCCAATAAAAGTCTGCATTTAGCTACTCAAGTTTGGATCTTACACTGAAAAAAAAGGAAGAAAGGGGGGATGTTTGATGTTTGCAAGAGTCCACAAAAACAAGAAGCAGTAAGAYACTGCAATACAAAGCAAAAGATACTTTTGCAATACAAAAAGCTTAATTGTTATTTTAGACTAAGAAAAGACATCTGACAAGTAATAGTTTCTAACATGGTGCAGTATTAAAGCTATTAATACAAAAGAAGTAAAAATAGTTATAATGAACTGCATCAAGGACAGAAAAAGAGAGGAAAAGAATTCCAAAAAGAATCCAAACCAAACTATTACAGCCCCAAAAAAATAGTAATGAAGAAAAAAATGAAATCACAAACCTTTTTAAGACTAAGAAACAGAAAAAAGACAGGAATGTTATATGAAAGGTAGCAAATAATTGAAACAAACTCACATTGTAGCACTTTGCTTGTCAGTGCTCTCGAATTTTATTTTATTTTAATGTGAAACACAGATACTAGTATGCTATTTTCAAACTTAGTGAAGTCCTTCCAAAACTTCCTTCGCAATAGTATGTGTTACCTTTCTTACTGGGACCAAAAGATGGTGGGGAAAGGAAGGGAACCAAAACAGAAAAAAACTCTCAACCAAGAGATAATTTGGATACTGGGAAGTAAAAGACTTTAAGGATGACATATTATAAAAGTGACATGATTTTGATCAAATTGTCCAGATCCTGACATTATTTTAAGCAAATTACTGTTTTTAAATCACACTTCCTTTATAAATCAGTACCTACTGTATTGAAGTAAGAAAATACTAATAAGCTAAAAGAACAGAATTCCCAGAAAACACATTGTCATTTTGGAGATGATGGGGCAAAAATTAAAACACAGAGGATCCCAAATGAAATATTTCTTTGRAATAATAACTAGACTACTAAGAGCCCAGGTCACCACAAAACAACAGCACAGATATGGAGGAACTATAAGAAGGAGAATTTCKTCAGTAAAAGTCTATATTTCTGCATTACAGAAAAAAGTTCTAAGGAAAACAACCCTTTAACAGAATTTGTTTGTTTTTACCAACATAATAATTCTGGCACACTACAGCAAAGACGTGCAACGTATTTAAGATATAAGACCACTAAGCCACACTATACCTTCTTTAAGTAAGCTATAGCAGAAAAGGCGGGCTCTTTCCAAATCTCCCAACTGTCGACAAATGCCTGCATAGACTCGACACAGAGCCTGACTGAAAATGTAATTTGAGGCATTCTTCTGAGCCTTCATCTTATTGAGAATAACATCCAGCAAGGACTCTGCTAAATGCTGTAAGACACAAAAATTATTGTTAGACTGTTATATGTATACAAATACTTGACAACATTGTACTAGTATGACAAGTAAAAAGAACTTGTCTTACTGTCAAATAAGAACTATCTTATTTGTAAGAACACTGTTTGTCCCCATATAAAAGTGCAGGAAAGTGAATCAGAGGCAGCCAACGAAAGAAAAAAGGGAAGAGCAGGCAACTTCCCAAAATAAATATGCCRCGAACAAATGAAGAATGGGGCTACTATTCTTTAAATTTAGTTATGTGATTAAAAAGTCTTCCTCAAAGGACAAGAAGAATAATGACAGGTAGAAGGAATGAGAGAAATAATGACCAGTAGAGTAACCCAAAATAACATAATTGAAGTGAATGTAAGCACCCTGACTTAGCTACTCCAGATGCCACAGACAGAAGGACAGACAGACCATTGTCCATGTGTGAGATTTACTAAATAAGTAAACAGCAGTCTTTCCCCAAATCACTCTACACACTGCAGGAGATGGGGAGGAGATGCTGCTGCTTTAYAGTAACATGGCACTCAACAGGAGATGCAAGGAAAAATAACATTGGGATTATGCATGACTTACTCAGGGATGTTTAGAGAGAAAGCTAAAAGTGGGCAGCAGAATGAGAGGTTTAGGAGCCAGGTGATGGAGAGTATACAGTTCAGACTGAGTACCTGTGGACAACAGGGAGTCAGAGTGCTAGCTTTGCGAGGAACCAGAAGGTCAAAGCCTGCTACCTGAAAGACCARGAGTCTGAGGGCCAGACAAAAGTCTGGACCAGCTGCTGGAGGAATGTGTGTATGCTTCTGTGTCTGTMTGTTTGTCAGTGCATGAGACAAGTGGGAAAAACATCAGTCACCTACTGGATATACTGAGTGCCTACYAAGTGCCTGAGCAGCCCAGTTAGCTACTGGTGAAATCCATATTGTCTCTACATAAATGTATGTATTTTCCACTACCAGGTTTTCAATCTGATTAGCCAGAGAAGCGAAAATTAGAGGAGGTGCACATTGTGTGCATGTCGCTCAGCTAGGAGTATGTATTTGGCCTTGCTAGTGGCTGGACCTGGAAACATAAAACTATGACAGCCTTGCTTCTAAGAAGTTTTCATACTTGAAAGCTCCTAACAAAGATGGCCTGAGATCTTGGTAGGAACTTCTGAGGAAAACTTAATTACATACAACTCTAATAGGACAAAATGCTGTCCTGCATCAGTTGGTGAATTGCTCTGCTGTAGACTACAAATTACCTATGAGAAAGATAGCAACTGAAGTGAATTTTTTTAGCATTGAAGCTAAGCAAGTTCTGAGAAATAAAATAAGGGAAGATTTTTTTCCAATAAAATTAATTTCAATAACCTGATGAAGAATAATAAAGGTAAAAATAGAATGAAGTTATATGCCATTACTGTATATACAATGAAGTTAATATTTTTTAATTTAAAGAAAAATAGTCATTTTGGAGGAGCTGCTACAACTGTTAATATTATCCACTACAAAAACAGCTGCAAAAATGAAGTGATTTATGCATACATCAGAAAAGCATATGCATTTATAAATGCAGTTTTGTATACTGGACACCACTGAGCAGTAATTTCTTGTGCAGTTCTGTATTTTCTTATGTTATAGAAATGTAGCTGTCTAATAACGTTTCAAGACTACACTCTGGCACTGCAGAGTGCCAGAAAAATTGAGAATTCAAATACTACACAATTACAGTCTTTCCATCTGCACAAAAGTGATTATTAAACATAAAATTTAAAATTATCCTACTTACCTTGCTTTTTATACCAAATTCATAGACAACTTTTCTCTCTTCATCTCTCATTACTGGAAATTTTGTAATACTGCCAACATATACATGACCTTTAATAACTGGTAACAAGTCAAAACAGGATTCAGCGACTTTCTTTAATGCCAAAGAAACTCTCTGGCAGTCAGGATCCTTCTTTACCAGTAGTGAATCTTCTAAATTGGAACTGTGTGATGAATCATTGATTTCACAGCTTTTACCATGGAAAGCCTCCTGCATTTCGGAGATGGTCTTTTTAGTATTTCTGACAGCAGCAATATCACTCGGCTCCATCCCTGGCGGTTCACTGTCCAATTTCAGTCTCTTGGCACTTCTTGGCATAGAAACCTGCAACAGTGTCCTTTTTTCCAGATGATCTGATGACTTTGAAAACAATTGCTGATTTTGCACATCTTTGTCTTCATCTTTGCTACTATCAGATTTCAAATTGCTCACAGCTTTAACAAAAGCAGTTGATGTAGATGTAATTGCTTTGAATACACCTATTTGAGACACAGGTCCTGGCAAATTCTGGCTGTCTGAAAAAGCACATCGGTTAAGTTGAATATTGCCTTTCAGAATGTTTAGTGTCCTCGCCCTTGCAGACAACTCTGGATACATAGTGTCCAATATTTTCACAGAGTTCTCCTGAGGAGCACCTGGACCAGCACTAACGGCTGCAAAGAGAGGAAATTTTCCTGGAACAGGAAGTGCATGCTTTGGAATGGAAGTACAAAATTTCAAAGGTGAGGAGCAAATCCTTCTACCTACTGCCATTTCTGAGGGTGAAGGAGTAGAAAATAAAAGAGCAGATTTTGCTGTTGGAGTATCTGTTAATGGAGACATGAGAGGAAGAACAGGAGTTTCACGTAGTGGGGATATCAGGTCATCAAGAGGGGAAAGCAAAGAGGATTGACCTGTAGAAGACATTACTGGGGACACAGTACAGGTAGTTTTTGGAGGAGTAGCAATCAGAGGCAGTAGCAAGGGAGGCAGAGGAGGACCTATCTCTTGCCTAATTATATTTATCATCTCAGATGAGCATTYTGTTGTCATAGAAGTATCAGTAAGAACTGGCTGAGCAACTTTGAGAGTCTTTGTTTTTCTTTTACCTTGAAAGAGTCTCTTTGATAACTTGGTATGCATTACTTGAGTACCTGTCTTGGTAGAAACAGTCAARATTTCAGATGATTCTTGCTCCTTGCACTTCAATTTATTGCTCTTTTTGAGAGCACAAGACTCTGATTCCACTGTACATAACTTCTCAAGTATTGTCTTTTGTGGTTCAGAGAGCTGCCCAATTGTTTGACAACAGCACCTTACATCAGACAGGGCTAGATTTGGAAGATACTTGAGTAAATTTTCTTTTCTACCACTATCTACGATAACATCAGTGCTGCTTTCTCCTATGTTGCAAGCAGTGTAAGTTGGATTATTATTATTATATTCTTCAAACACTGAGACCCCCATATTAATATTGTGTAACAGACTTTGTTCCCCATTTGAMTGAAGTTTTGCAGAATCATTTCCTTCTATGAAACTGCCAAGTGCTAACATTCTTGTATTTAATTTACTGGTTTTTACAGTCAGCTTGCAATTTTCTGAGAATCTGCTTAACATCTTGCATAGAGGTAACCTATTTTTTGAAGCATTTGGCATCACAGGGCTTTCTTTTGACATCCCAGGTTTTAACAGGCTTTTCTCACTGTGACTGATGCATCCAGCTATGTCAGACTCCACCATGAGYTCATTAGCTCTCTCAGTAGTTTCAGAGGTTACTAATATACATTCCCTTTCCCAAGAGGCTGAGTCTTCAGGATAACCCTCCCCAGTCACACTTGACCGCTCATTTGCAGTATCTCCAGAGCTATTTAGTTCACACTGTGTATCCATACCCACCACAGTGCCTGCTTTTAGGTGACAAACTGTGAAAGTATTTCCTGGGTGGATCATTGAATGAAGCTCACCTACTTGGTAATCAGCATCAACAATTGCACCAGTTTCCAGAGCATCCACTGCAACTCTCCTGGAAGCTCTCAGTTCCTTTCTGAACATGGGAACACATTCAGAACACTTCACATACCTAATGTTTCGGATAGAACAGTCTTTCTCTTCAGAGTGATTGCTCTGTTCTGGCATTTGAAAATCACTTTTAGACCTTATGGCACTTTTTCCAGAACCCTCAAAACTATTCAGTTCTTTACTTTCTCCCCCATCTGTTAGTGAACCAGTTCTAGAAGGATCTGTTCTAACCTGCCATGTAGAACTCCCGTATCCYGACTTTTGACAATCAAACTTTTGGAGGAGAAAAGCATTCTTCTTGTAAGAGTTTGCATACATAATATGTGGTTTAATAGATGACTGAGGTTCTTTATCTACTGGTTGCTCCTTATCTGAAGTTTTCACTTCATTTTTGTGTATGGATTCTCTCTCAGGGCAGCCCAGTTCTTTGCCCATGTTGACTTTTTCAGCAGACAGAATCTCAGCACCCTCCCTTAAGTTTTCTGAAAAACAGTTAAATTTACTACTCGTAATAGGATTTGTAGGTCCCTTCTTTTCCCAAGAACAGGAAAAAGCAGTCTGTCCTGTGAAATTAGTTTCAAGGAAGCCAACAACTTTCTGAAGACTAAAATTCAGATCAGGAGGTCTTGTGGATTCCAAGCCAATTCCCACTTGCACAGGAGAATTGATTTCCTCATTATTCATACAGCATTTGTCCAAGTCCTTTTGAGTAGAAAAAGCCACACCACTTTTATAAGGCATTTCTGAAACAGGCTGGCAGATCATCTCTGAAATACTATTTTTCTTCACAATATCCTTTTCCCACTTCAATGAACTGGAAAAAGTCTCAGCCAGCAATTCCTTGCTTTGTTTATTTAATTTCCCTTCTATTTCATCACATTTAACATTTCCAGTTATTGAGAGCTGATTCAGAGGTTTTGCAAACTGTTCCTGAGAAGGATTGCTTTCTACTAAGACAGATTCAATAGTATCCCTTCTTGCTAACAGCTYACCATTTTCCCCTCCAAAATCTTCTGGATTATCTTTGACTTCAAACTCTTGAGATTCAAACACTCTAAAGTTTTGAGATTTGGAATGCCCACATTCTAACGTATTACGTAAGTTTTCAGATTGTTTTATTTCACCTTTCACTTCTGTAAAATCTAACACAGAGGATTTGCACTTAGCTACACTGCTTTCTGCATCAGTAATGCCTGCTGTCTTTGGTAGTACATATATATTTTCCAAGTCTGGCTTCCTTTGAAAYAAATTACTATCATTTTCCTCCTGATGTGGTTTGCTTTGTAAATATACCCCCTTCTTTGTATCTACTAATTTTACATTTTCTACACTATGGAATAGCTCTGGCAATTCAGCTACTTCTAGAACACTCCCTCTGTCAAATTTCATAGCTAGTTCAATAGCTGGAGCTCTGGTTATATTCATGTCTTCAATTTTGAGCTGCTCATCTTTTGGAACGACTGACAATAAATTTCTGATTCCTTCAACAGCAGATACGGGTAAGTAATGCCTAGAGACTTTAACAGTCTCTGGTWCATATTCTCTGTTGTCCTCATCTCTTATTTGCATATGTTGTTTCTCCAAAACGTCTTCACTGTCATGTTTTATTTCAGAGCACTGAGAGTGTGCAGAGATCTCAACAGCTCCAGCTGTATYAGTTAATTCGATTACATTTTTTGAGTTACTTTCAACCACTTCACTTGCTATCAACACATCAGATTTTTCCTCAGAACCTTCACTTKGAAGCACAATGCATTGCTCAGATAGCAAACGAGTAATGCTTTGTGCAACAGATGCTTCCCTGGGAGTTTGTCTTAATAATCCATCTCTCTCTCCTTTCACTAATTCATCACATTTTTCATGTGTACTCTTACAATCAACAGCTCTAATTAAGGTTACATTCTCCTCTGTTTGCTTTACCACACTACATTTTTCTGTCTGATTCTGAGGCTTGAAACCTTGTAACATAAAATCTGCTGAAGAGTCTCCCCCTTCACTGTGCATGTCCTCACCATCTCCTTTCTGTTCTGCCATGTCTTCTGATTCACATGCTGTGGCTCCAGTTAGTTCTCTGTTCTCAGTTTCCATATCCTCAGAATTCTCCTCCAAACAATCTTTGTTAGTTTCCATGTTTGTAATTAAAGTAGGACCTTCAGATTGCTTTCTTTCAGCCTCTCTCTCCTCCTTGCTTGACATCTTTGGACTGATATGAGTATTCTTCTCATTCCAACTCAGATTAAGTGAGATTTCTGCATCAAAACCATGCTCACATGACTTGCTCTGTCTGTTACACTCATCACTGTGGCTGATTACATCACAACTCAGAGGCTGAACTTGGTCTTCTTGTAAAATATCCTCCACTGCAGAGGTACTGCAATCATCTTCTTCATCACTAGACYCTGCGACTTCTCCAAATAATATATCCTTCAATAAAAAAAAAAAAAAACCCAAAGTTAATATTCTAAACCCTGGTATCAGTGTTCAGACCTACTTCTTCACACAAGTACACTTAAGGCCCTGATATGCCATGGTTTTTTAGAGATTAAGGCTGATCAACAAAATTACAACTTTCTTCATCATTGTTCTTCACAGCAAATGAAAATATCTCTGCAAAAAGACAATTCTTTACCTACTTACTTGTATTCTAAGATTACTGGAAAAGAGCATTTGACTTGCATTTAACTTTCAAGCTCTGGAACTTTTCTATGAAAGCCATGCTTATACTGGATATGAATTGGGACTGTAAGTCTGAACCACTGGAAAATCATGACAACAACTTGATACATAGGTGACTGTGTACTGGTTTTGGCTAGTTAATTTTCTTCACAGTAGCTACTGTTGGGGTAYGTTTTGTATTTGTGCTGAAAACGGTGTTAATAATATAGAGATGTTTTCATTATTGTTGAGTGGTGCTTACACAGCATCAAAGACTTTTGTGCTTCTCCTATTGCCATACTGGTAAGAGCGCTGGGGCTCCATGGGAAGTTCAGAGGAGACACAATTGGGACAGCAGATCCCAACTGACCAGAGATATCCCATACCATTAATGGCATCACACTGAGTACACAGAGAGAGGGGGGAAAAAGGAAGGGTGGGATATTTTGAGTGACATTTATCTAAGTCACCATTATGTGTGACAGACCCCTGTTGACCTGCCTGCTCATGTGAAAGAGTGAATGAATTCCTTGTTCTGCTTTGCTTTCTGCTTTGCACAGTTTTTCCTATTAAACTGTTTTTATCTCAAYCTACATGTTTTCTCACTTTTCCGATTCTCCCCAGGATCCTGCTTGTGGGGAAGCCAGCAAGTGGTCGCGTGCTACTTAGTTGTTGACTGGGGTTAAAACACGACATGTATACTTCTGAAAATTATGGTTTTGCTCCCTTCCACAGGCAATATGCTACAAGGCAAAAAAAAACATCCATATGGATCTAAACACACAGAGAYCCTTTCAGTGCATGAGTAACTAATATTGATACTAAATTTAAAAAAAAGCCCTGGAATATAAAATCATTGTTTCTTCAGTAATTTTAAGACCAAGTTAAGTGCCAAGTCAGACGCATCCTGAAACTCACCYGTGTAGTCAGTGGTGAAAGCTGTACTGGAGAAAGCAGAGCAGGAAGAGGCCTGGCCCAATTCAATATATCCGTCACATTTCCACCTGGGTCCCTCTGCTCCTGATTGGAGTAGCCTGAAGTGCTGTGTTCCACGCCTGTCTGTATTATCATATCTACAGTTTTATCCTCACCATTGCGCAGACATTCTTCAGTAGACCTGTTTTCAACACAATCATCTCCAAAAGGCTCAGTACTTGTTTGAATTATCATTGCTGTTACAGAATTTTGCTTTACAGCACTTTCCACGGAAGAACACCAACGTAGCGTTTTGCCATCATACTTCCTGATCTTTTGGTGGATTTGTACAGTGTCTAAGACAGAAAAATAACATTACAAACTTTCCCCCTTCCACTTTTGTCTACAGAGATAATATATAACAGTAATAAAAATKTAATACAATATTTTCCAGTGAAGTTTCCATAGAAAATCTTTATGTCACTTTCAGAAATACTTTCCTTACAGAGATGAGATGAAATGAGATGAGACAATTATTTTTTCATGAAAAAGGCATACGTGTGTGCAAAGAGCTTCTCCCCATACATTTTCTGACTTGGGTCATTAAAACATTCCCAATTTTTCTTATCAGGAAGGGCCATTTCTTAGTAGAAYTGAAAGTCCATATGTTTTATTTCAGTCTTTGCCCACTAACTCATGGYCAAGAAAAGCAGGACAACCATGCACTGACATTCCCCACTCAGGCTGTAATAACCTACAGATTTGAGCCAGCAGCTGTACTTGCAGGCCAGTTATAATTACACCCTGCCATAAACACAGCAAGGGAGCTCTTAGCCACATTTCTAGTTTATTATTTAATATGCATATGCTTTTAAATTCTTTGTTCTTTAAATTTAAAATACTGAGTCTAATCATACAGGATTTTGTCTTTAATGATATGATTCAGTCAAAGCTGAACCCTTAATAAGAAAAGCCCCTCAACATACCTATGCACAGAGGAATCTGAACCACTAAGACAAAGATACTGAGCAGTTGACAACCTTTCAAAGATGTCAACTATACAGTTTTACAGTTATTCTAACAACAAGAATGCAGTCTAAATGCTCTGTGTGATTCTYTGCATTGTACTTTTGTTTTGTTACTTTTCAAATCACAGCTTTTACTATTACACAGGAACTCATTACTTATGCAGAAAAAACACACTTACCCAGGAAAGTTCAAAAGACAAATMATTTAAATCTATTATAATTGTGCTAAATACTTCTAAAAGGGAAAAGATGTCCCAYTTTCCTGAAATTTAAATACTTTGATTTTATAAAATGAAAATATTACTCCTAATAAAACAGTGGAAATCAACAATCCCAAAACCCCAGTGTGTCACATAGAACTTAAACTTATTCTGTAGTATGTGCAATTCTTATATGATACTGTATATGTGTGATCTTATTTAGCAGGTTCACCGAACACCATTAGACACAAAATCAGCAGTATTCAAGAAAGACATCAAGCCTATTCTGTGTACACAGGTACCATCTGCAGTGAACCACTTGGATCTTGTGGCTAAATTTTACCTTAAGCAAGCTAGTTTAAATTTAAAGGAAAAACTGCTGTATAGCAATGGATACTGCAGAGGCAGGATAGGGGATTTTTTTTAAGCCAGTTTCTCTCCCACACCATGACCCTTTGTAAAGCTGCAAAACTCTGAAAGTTTACTCAGAACCTTTGTTTAGAAAYTTTGTCCGGGCACACCTGAACACACACTCATACCCCTCTTGACACTGCTAGACTTCCATGATCTTCCAGAAAGAAGACTGTAAATGTCCAGAACTCCTCCTGGAAGAGGTACTGGGGTGTTCACTGAAGAATGAAGGTTATAAAAAATTGATGCTTATGCAGGCCTCCATCTCTGACAGACTTGGACTGTGTATCACAGCCACAGACCAGGATCACCCACACATCACTGAAGACACAGGTGGTGGTTATTTTTGTCTTTTCTCCTCTCTATTTTTTCTTTCCAGTTTTCCTCTCTTAGGGTGATCAAACACTTCCGAATAGCTATACATCCCTTTCCAATCAATTACAGTGTTTTCCACTTAAAGTTTCAAAGCAGTTCTAATAAAATTTGTTGGTATATAGGTTATTTAGCATTTTTCTACTTTAATCCACACCAAGGGATCCTTTAGCAAGAAATCTSGTTGATTAGCAACAATATCCCACAGTAGAAAGAACAGCACATGCAYAAAATAGTTTTGAGCAGGGGGTGTATTAATTTAATTGGCACAACCTACATTCTGTTGGAAAAATTTTAGAAATTGTGCGCTTCGTTACTGCTCTCTGTGTTAATCCACTACTAGAACTTGCATAGATATTCCTGAAGCAGCATCAATGACAGTATCATATTCAAAAATACACRTTTAATTTGATAGGTCAAAATAACCTCCTCAGCAATCAAAAACTTTTAAGCACATTCTGATATGTCRGCTCCACTAACAGTAAATTAGAAAAATTGATCAATAACCCGATTTCAAAGATCCATCTCAGTTACTTCATGTAGCAACCCCATGTAAAAATCTCAATAGCTGCACTGAACACCAGGGAAGGAGAAACTGTTCAGCCTGAAGGGCCCTAGCACATAATTTTCCCTTATGATAAGTAAGCTCTGCCATCTCCTTTACATCTTTTAAGTATTAAGATAATATTAAAATCATTGTTTTATAAAACCATTTATGAGCTACAGTCACAAAGAGCTTCCAGGATGTTCTAAACAATCTCAGGAAAAACCAACATTCTTTTTACAATTTGAGTTCCATTAGATGATTCAAGGGAAAAGGAGATCTTTGACAAGCAGAAACAAAGAAAAAAAGGAAAATTACAAAGTTSGTTCTCTCTCAGATTTTTTTCATGCTGTTTTGTGCACACCATTTCAAAGCTCAGAATTTTCCCCACACTGAAGTGGGCAGCAACAGTTACATATTTTGCCCCTATACGAATTCCGTTTAGACAATTAGGAAGTTTACTTTTCATAGTGAACTACACACTAGTATCAAGTTAYTAGGAACTTTACATCCTATCTCTARTCTCAAAATCAATCATATACCTACATCAAGCCCAAGAATAGTGACACAGGTCATCCATTTAAAAGTTTCCTCTGAAAATGGATCAAAGACATAATTTCTGAATAACTAAGAGATTCTCTAACCTTCTCTACCCATCCCTGTCCAAACCAGTCCCGAATAACTGAATTTYTTTAGGAATTAGATATTTTTTCCAYAGTTGCCCATTTATCGGTAGGAAAAGTTGTCATAGCAATTTTTTAAGACTCAGCATAAGTAAGTTTCATTTTYGGAAGTGCTGACTCTTTGGCACCTTGGCATGAACCTCAGGGCCAGGAAAAGCCCTACTAATATTGAGCCCATCTCATTGGAAGGATCCTCTCAAAGATCGTATTTCACAGATAAATTTTACTTTATCCAGGGAATTGCACTCTTGTTCATCATGTCACTCAGTGTAATTATTAAGTTCTCTCCTGAAATGTACAACCTGGAATCTAGCTCATGTAGCTTCAAACCCTTACTTTCYTTCCTTCTCTCCCTTCAGAGTAATCTTAATCTTCTCTCAGATCTGAAAACACCATCAAAATCTATCATGTACTACTTGAAACACCTCATTGATGCAGAGTGGAGAAAGAAGCAGAGATTAAATAAGCAGTCCAATACTAACACTGGTTGCCTTGGTACTAAACAAACTGAATTTTACAGCTCAAAACTTTGCTCTTGCTTGTCCACATTGCAGGCAGTTTGCTGTTTCAAATTGTCATCTCCTYACTCCAAGCAACAAAGCAACTTTTTGAAACAAGTCTTGTGGGCATTTCCTCTCAGGAAGGACCAAATTAAGATGTGATATTTTATAAAAATAATTAATATAGCCATAGAACYTCATCTGATTTACAGCAAAACCTCATCATTATCAGGTCAGTGACTGCAGATGCCTGGCASTAGCAAATGCACTTCTCAAAACAAACAGCATTGTTTCTCTGAGAAAAAAAATTCCTCCACAGAAACTTTTTCATGCCCTGACAACAAGGCAGAATTTTTCAAGCTGTTTCCAATTATGTGAATTTCAGGACACTTCATACACTAGTTATTCTTTGACGCTACAAACAATATGCTGTTTTCTGAGACAGCAAATCCACACATTCCATGATATGAAACAAAGAACTATGGGGAACACTGCATACGCAAAATTACATATGCAATGGAACACTGTTACATCTAAAAGTGTTATCTTGAGAGATTTTCATATGGTCTTAACAACAGAAAAGAGRTCTGCTTCTCAAAGCACTCACATTCTATGGACTTTAGCGTAAGACCATAGATCTCACATTCTCACATATCCCTAGGGATTCAGTCTCATCTTTGTATTTGACATACAATATCACTGTACAGTATCTCCTTTTATCTGGTATTAAAGCAGACAACTCCAGTGTGCTCCTTTCCATCTCTGCTTTTAATATGTACCGGCAGCTTCTCCTGTATCCTTGTGTCCCCAAACAAAAAAGATGAGCAGGTAAGATGGGTATTGCTCAGATTTAAGTAAGCCAAATTTAGGTCAGAACCCAGTACCTATCCCAGTCAGTATCTCTACACCTTTAGTAACAGAAAAATCAAAGTAGTAGAGAAACTGAGAAAAATAACAAAGCTTAATGAAAACATTCAAGAGACAGAACATAGAAATTAATGCAGTTACAAATCACCTATTAGTCTTGAGTGCAGAAGGAAAATGGTATCTGTTATGTAAAGCTGAAGCAGTTCAAGTTTRCTGTGAATGTGCATGTGAATTAACTGCTCAGATTATTTTTTATTATTATCTGAATATCACATTACAGTGAAGAAAACAYAGGTAACAGCTTACTAAACTTCCTAATTCAACTGTGTTACCACATATTTGTTTTGGACTGAAAAGAGCCCAGGTGCCCCATCATTCACATTATATAGTACAAAGTTCATAATGATGTAATAATTACCGTTTAAACATGAGATGAGTTTTGACTACTTACAAACAGTAAAAGAAATTGATTTCTTGATTGCAACAGCAAATTACAATAGCTTTTAATTAGAAGACAGTTCAAATTAATATTTGAATTATTTTCAGATATCCTAATCACACGTGTACTTAACCAAGCAATSACCAAGGCAAGAATTTAAGTCTTTCAAAAGAGTATTATGCAGTCAGTACCCAACTGGAACCTACCTTCTGTAAGTCTACTGTTGTCAGACCATTCCTTATCCTGAACAGAAGCTGAAAGAAAGTACCAACATTACAYTTCGATCAGAAAAGGAGAGAGCTTCAAGAAAATTTCAAGATTTTCATGCCATTTTACCTAAGATWGAATCATTTTTCTCATTCTCTCTTTTTCCTGTTGCACTGTCAATGCACATCCAAAGTTCTTCTAACAAGAGCTTTACTCTTCCTGTTAAAATAAATAAATTATTAAAATAGGTTGAGGAAATTGAACTAAGAAKTTATGTTTATTTTACTCTGAACACAGACATGCCTACAAAACAACCGAAATAGCCACAACAAAAATTACAACATGGGACAAGCTTCAGTGAAAGAGAAATAATACATGCCATTTAGGGAATCGATCCYGTACTAGCCATATGCACACAGCAGACTGAAGGAACAGCTGCAGAAGGCTTTAGCTTTTCCTTTTTATAGRGAATACTACAAAAGGTACCCACTCGAATGTAGCATTAGTGAAATTAAATAGCTTTGTAAAAGAAATCAAGTTACATGAACATAAAATCGGGAGAAAATCTCCTAAGAAGATTTGTATYTGTTGTGGGTTAAGGTTTCTCCTTTTGTTTCCTTTCTTGGGGAATTTYTTTCCCATTTTGTTGCTAAGGTATGCTTCATGGCTGAATCCTTTACTTAATGACAGGTGCTTAGACAGAAAAAAGAGGGTGCCAAGCTCTGGATCCAGGAGAAGGGTCTCCCTGGGCACTCCTCTTGCCCGGCAGCTTGTTCTTTTTTTCTCTCTTTGGAGAGAGGGAAGTTCTAGTGGGAGTTTTGGGCTCGGGAAGGGCGTGTGTGTGTGTGTGTGTGTGTGTGTGTGTGTGTGTGTGTGTGTATGTGTGCGGGGCAGAGGGTAGTTTCACCTCCTGCCCTGCTTGGCTTGGGGAGGACGGTGAACCTGCTACCTGCAGGAGAGAGCTCGCTTGCTGCTGCTGCAGAACCCAGTGTCCTGCTGTCAGTTCCTGTTTGCTAGACTGTGGTTTTCTGCCCGATTGTCTTGCCGGGACCCCTGTGATTCCAGCTACAGTAGTCAAATCCTAATAGCACCATTGCCAGGTGATGTCAAACAATCTAGTTTYAGAGACAGAAGGGCAAGTGGAGAGGGAAAAACAACCCAAGACCTCAGCAAAATACACAAGCACCTCATCTACTTATACCAAAACTATAATATATATAATCATATATATACATATACCAAAACAGCCCATCTGGCCGTTCTGAAGTTTCTTGCTATCCAGAGGAGCACTGAGATCAGCTTTCCCCTGTGAGTCTGTAAAGGAACATTTTCTCCATCCATCTCTGCCAGCTTGTGCCAGCCATGGGCCACGTGAGACCCAAAYCGRCYGGGACCCGCRCCACAGCACCTCCTGCAGCCACCAGGAAATTATCGCACCCGCCCTGCCCRGCCRGGAGCTAACAGCGCCCSYGCTGACTGGGACCGTAACTSCACCAAAGGGGAGGGCATGTCTGTGTGTGAAGCTGTTACTTGGTTTGTGGCTGGGTTGGCTGTGCTATCATTGTTGTTACTTGTTTCACCTGGTTATAYAWATTAGTAAAAACTGTTATTCCCTTTTACCCATAYCTTTGYCAGAAAGCCCGTGATTTCAAAGCTATAATAATTCGGAGGGAAGGGGGAGGAGGGAATCATACCCACCACTCCAAGGGAGGTCCCTGCCTTCATTGGCAAACACCTGTCTTTCAAACGGATACAGTATTACATTTATTTTCACTCAGTAATAATGCATCTTACTCTTTGTATCTAAATTGATTATCAGGCCATAACATTAGGAGATTCTGTCTACAGTCCTAATAGCACCATTGCTAGGTGATGTCAAACAATCTAGTTTCAGAGACAGAAGGACAGGTGGAGAGGGAAAAACAATCCAAGACCTCAGCAAAATACATAAGGACCTCATCTACTTATACCAAAACTATCATCAGATCCAACAATCCAACGATCAAGAAATGAGACTGTTTTTTTGCAAATTCCTTAAGTCAATGGTAATAGCAAACTGTTTATTTTATGAAGAGGAATATTAAAAAAACCTCAGCATGTAATAGGAAAAACAGACAAATTCTGCTTAACAGCTAGTAACAACATTAATCTTCTCATTACTAATWAAGACTTGCTGCTATTTGAAGTTCAAATTAACGCTCAGATATTAATTTTCCTATTTTGCCATTAATTAAAAACCAAAGGATTAAATTTGGCATCAATTCAATACAATCCAAAAGTAAAAAATATGCCAAGACACACAGAAACTGACAAAGTCTGCCTTTTTCAGAAAATTTGATTTCTGCAACAAACTTATTGCGAAGCAAGAAATAGAATGGTGAAGTTCTTTTGTCTCAAAATTGCCTTTAGAATATCTAAACAATTCAAAAGCCGTACCAGCACTTTAAAAGAGTGTAAAAGATAAAAAAAATAAATTTGTTTCAAGTTTGGCCTCGGTACTTTAGAGGAAGTTTTGGATGAATTTGCTCCATTACAATTAGATTCAGATAATTTGTAGCATACATTTTAGATCACTAGGGAAAAAAACAGCCAATAGGATAAGACACAGCTATACCTCCTGGATTTCCACTTGATTTACCAAGTGTCACATAGAAATTGTACCAGACTACTCTCCTGTTTGGTTCTTAATGATTTCAGTGAGCTTCAGAAGGATTGCTTGGGTTTTTTTCAGTGTTTGCATTCTGTTTTATAATTGCCTATCAGCTGACTTCACAGATGCACAGGGTACATTAGCCGTTTTTAAGAATCAAGTATTTTCCTTACTATTTCCTTAATAATAATCTCTTACACTAGTCCCTTATCACTGTAGCCCACTTGTATCAATCACATCTGCTCTTACAGCAATTCTGGCAGTACACTATGTTTCCAAAAACACAACTCCAGAAGAGTTGCAATAAATTCATAATAATTGGTTTCATACAGAGAATGGTATGCAAAGTCTTACCTTTGTCTATATCTGTTGCAAGATGTTCACTTGAACTCTGAGTTTCTGCATGCTTAACTATTAAAAGGAGGAGAGGTGAGAAGAATATGTTCATATGGAACAATACCACATACAAATCTGAAGGCATTCAAAKGTAAACACTTACCTTTTCTGCACTTCTCTTTAAATACATTGTCAAGCCTTCCCTGTWAAGAAGTACAAAATTTTTATGCCAAACATATTTTTTAGAGCATCAACTCTTACATAGCATGAAATCTATATCAACATTTCAAAGGCCTTTCTTCAGTTAGAAAATTTCTCTCTTACAGTGAACTGCTATGTTTAGTYACTCGGGATCCAAAAAAAAAAGTAATTTTTCTGTTTTAGTATCTCTTACACTAATAGCTTCCTATTTTTCACCCAAAAATACTAAAAGAAGCTTCACCCAAAGATAAGGAAAGCCTTACTTGTGCCTTTTTAAGCTCCTTTTCAAGCCTTTTCTTTTCAGTTTTCAGTTGTCTGAAGTCCTGTGTATGCTTTGTTGCAGCCTCTTCAAAAAACAGAATGAAAATTCAAGTTAGAAACTACACTCTAAGAGACTACTAATTTAAATTGTGCTGGTCACTAGTTGCAAATCAAATTACCAGAAGAAAAGAGACAGTGTGAAATACAACTGTCTACTGAAGTATTTTGGTTCATTAAGACAACAACTCATGCATTACAAGTATATTGCCTTCTATTGCATAATTACTGTTTTGAACCACTGCAATACATTTATTAGTTTGCTCAGTTACATGCAAGAATGAGGGGTCATATTGTAATGACATTGTACTATAAAACAATACTGACCAAGTGAAAAAAGGACATATAACTGAGGCACAAGGGTTTTTGCATATGTTTTATTCTCTTCCTTAAGAGAACATTGGTTCAAAGATGAAAACACCATAGCTATTTGCATTAAAAAGATCCAGATAGCATTCAAGTCTAATAGAGAAGAGGACCTCATCTCTTAATGTCTAACAGAAAAGGGCAGATAGGTGCAAAAAGAGAATACAGGGTAGGTGAGAACTGAACGTGAGATTCCTAGCAAAATTCTCAGATGACAGAGTTAGCTGAGAGAACTCCCGTGCGTTCAGCCTGATGACATATATGTATAGGTGAGAAAATAAACTGAATTTGCCTGCTGATCAAATCAGAATAGAGCCTATTAAAATAAAAGGCATTAAAAACCCACTTGGGCATACCACCCTCTAGGGTGGTAGGCTGACAAAAAAAAAAAAAAAAAAAAAAAAAAAAAAAAAAAAAAAAAAAAAAAAAAGATAAAATTTCACAATGACAAAAGATACGAGGTCTGAGGTATTTTAATGAACACAGAAAAAAATCCAAACAGATAAAACAGTTACTGAAATCGAACCTATACCTACTCTCTCTCAGTATTTTGTTCTACTTCTGTTAGAATTAGAGATTTAGAAGGCAAGTGTGTAAAAACCTAGCTGTCCTGTAATGGAACTCCAAAATTCTCATCAAAACGAACACCTTTAACCTGCACTTTAACAGCAGGATTCAGGGGGTTTCTAACAGTAAGATATAAGTCACTCAGTTCACTGTATTTTAAACTATGGTAAGCACAGCTACAAGCATGATAGGAATGCAAATATCTGCCTTGCCAATTGATGGTAGAAGTGARGCCTCAGAAAGTCTTATGTATATCCACTCTCTACCAGTAAAACAAGAAAAACACAGTGCCATGAAACCAGTGTTTTCTCTCCATGTAAAAACAAAGCAAGCAAACAAATAAACTAACCAACCAAAATACAAGTGCCAGAACATTTAAAAATCAAAAAACATGCATCAGGATCACCACATACTTATACATGATCATAAACACAAAGAATCCTGCTAGTATTAGTAGAACGCCAGARCATATGCCCTATGAACACCAGCTTCTTGAACTAGACTTGATTAGCCAGAGGGGAAAACAAAACTCTTAGAAGGAATCCAGGAACAGCTTTCCTGTACAAGGAGGTATCAAGGAGATAGAATGAGACTGTTCACTGTTGTACGGTAGACATCAGGTGTAAACTGAAACATGTTTCCAGCTAGTTATAAAGAAAAACATGTCAGTGAATCAAACTGCTCAGATTGGTCAGACTCCATCCTTCGAAGTTTTCATGACCAGCAGTTCCCTTCCAACTTTATCTATGTCATGTGCATAAGACATTCAGCAGAAAACATTCAGCAGGAGGGCTGATGTAAATCAGAGACTAAGAATGCCACATAGTACTGCCCTGCCTTGCTCCTTGGACCTCAAAGTTAGTCACAGTTCATCTGGATAGAAAAGGAAAAAACATTACGTTAATGTACTGTTTTCCTACTCAATGTAGAAAGTTACCTTCAAGTTTTTTCACTTTTGTTTCCAGTTTCTTTCTCCTGTTAAAAAGAACACATTATTTGATTATTTTAAAATAGAATTATGTTGCAAGAAAAGCCAGAAAAAAGAAATCTAGCCATTCAGAGAAAACACACTTCCAATCAATGAATCACTGAAGCTGAAAAATTAAATTGGTGGCATGTTGCTGACATTCTCACACAAAGAGCTGTATCTGTTACAGAGGCAAYGTTTGCATTTAGGAGAGTTAATGAACTAATCCAGGTACATAAAAAGACCTTTAGCTACAACTTGGAATTAGAAATACAACGCTAGAAAAATTACTTCTGTTTTTTGCATTATTATGATGTGATGCAGACAGATTGGTTTTGCTCTTTAAAAACAATCAAGCCTTGCTTACAAAAATAATATCTAAGCAATGAGATAATTAGAAATAGCCTTCAAGATCACTTATGTCCCACTGTTTTTTGTTCAGAACATCCGGGTGCTTTAGACTAAAGCCAAATCAGAAGAAATAAACCTTACACATCCTGAACAATTTTAACTTAAGCATTTCCAACCCTATCTTATATGTAAAACACGCAGAATTGGAAAATAAAGAAATAGACAAGTAAACATTTTTATTGTTTTCTTCTGTTAAATCCCAGTATCCCAGAACTTTTTAAACTGTTGTGGTAAATAGAGGATTCTACTAATGCTCACTGATCACTTTCATGAAGCAAAACACAGCTCATCTATTCCCCATACTAAAACCTGCGTAATGGATTGAGATACACGACGTAAGCCTTTCCGGATGTTCAGGATTCAATTACTACTTCAGACATGAACTGGAATATTCCACTGGAATATGATTGGCCACCTTTTCCATGTTCAGTAGTCAATGAGTTTATACTATAAAATAATAGATGGATGATTCTGTGCATTCTCAGCCTGAAGAGGTTCATACTTACTTTCCTATATGAGGGCTTTGACAGTCAAGCCATAGGTGAGAATTTCAGCAAAATTCCTTATAAAACATCTTTGCAGAAAAAAAAGGATGGGGGAGTTGTCCTTTAGAAAATTGGTAGTAAGAAACTTCTGTTTCTCTGTAAATTATCTTCAAATGAATGTACAGAAGTACTACATCTACAATGCATGGACACTCTGGAAACAAGACCAGTTGAAACAGGAAGACTACAGAGATGCTGTTTGCTATTGCAGGGAGGAGACTTATGCAGCCAAAGCTCATAACCAGTACTCTAAAGGACACAAAAAGGGCTTTTAAAAATATATTTAATAGCAAATGGAAGATCAGAAATAACATTGGTCCATTGCTTGATGAGGTTAGTCATGTCAGAAATAGGGATGCAAAGCAGAGATGTTTTATGCCTTCTTCGCATCTGTCACCAATGACAGACTCYGGGGATGCACAGAAACCTGTGCTGAAAGACTGTGACTAGTTTGTTCAGCTTAGGAAAGAGAAGGCTAAGGGGTGATCTCATCACAGTTTACAACTTCCTCAGTGGGGCACAGTGGAGAAGAAGGTGCTGATCTCCTTTCTCTGGTGACCAGTGACAGGACAGAAGGAAATGAAATGAAGCTGCATCGGTGGAAGTTCAGATGGGACATTAAGGAAAGGTTCTTGAGTGAGASGGTGGTTGGACAGACACTGGAGGGAAGCAGTCATTGACAGCAACCCCTGTCAGAGTTCAAGAACCCGAATGACAGCCTTAGTCCTACAGTTTAGTTTTAAGTAGTTCAGAAGTCTCTGCAGGGAGTTGGCACTTAATGATCCTCATAGATACTTTTCAACTTGAGATAGAAGTCCTATGACACAAACAACTAAGAATCTGAATAAAAGTCAGCCACTAAATGCCAACATTATCACTGCACTAATATTTACAAATGAAATAATTACATTTACACATGTAGTACTATACTAATTTCATCAACACACAACTATATTAAGAAAATAGGTAGATATTAAATCTAGAAATTTACAAAAAGCACTTTGCAGATGATGTATTTGGGCAGAACTCCTCTTATGCTACATAACTCAAGTTCCTATCTGATCTTTAAGATACATGCACAACTGCAGCTAACAGAATGCTATACTAACAGAAGTTGTACTACATGGGAATTGCCATCCTTGTAGAATATTCAGACCTCAACTAAACAGTCCTGAGTAAGCTAACTTTGACACTGGCTCTGAATGGCAGATTGGACCAAAGGACGTGAGTCATAATTTCTGACCTATTTTTTTAACACTAACTGTACATTAACAGTAATTTTATAAACAATTCACTATTACTCTGCTTCTGAAAAAAATCCAGCTTTCAGTTACTGAATTCATATGACCTACTGTTTAAAATGGGCTCAGCATCTGAGGTATACAAAACAGCTACGGCATCACAAAATTGAGGCTGAAGTTGCAAGAATCCTCTAGAAGTTATCTCGTCCAACCAACACTGCTCAAGTAAGGCCACCTATAGCTTGTTGCCCAGGATCATTTCCAGATGGCTTCTGAATATCTCCAACAATTGAGAGGCCACAAGCTCCCAGGAAGCACTCAATCTCACAGCAAAAAGTGTTTCCTAATGTTCACAGGGAACATTCTGTGTCTTAGTTTGTGTCAACTGCCTCTTGTCTTGTCTCTCAGGTCAATGGAAGTGAGCCTGGTTCTGTCTTCTTTTTACCCTCCCTTCAGGTATTTACAGACACTGATGATATCACCCCTGAGTCTTTTCTTCCCAAGTTCTCTCAGCCTTCTGACAATAGAGAGATGCTCCTGTTCCTTAATCATCTTCATGGTCCTACACTAAATTCACTCCCATGTCTCTCTTGTATGGAGGAGTCTGGACCTAACACAGTACTTCAGGGGTGGTCAGCAGTATATCAGCAGTGCTGAGCAGAAGAGAATGAGCATCTCCCTAAGCCTGATGGCAAAACTTTGCTTATTGTAGACCAAGACACCGGTAGCCTTCTTTGCCACAAGTACATATTGTTGGTTCATGTCATGAGAGTGCCCCAAGCTGCTAAATGGGGCACTAAATGGCCCTCAGCATGTACTGGTGTATGTGATTGTTCCTTATCAGGTGCAGGGCTTAGCACTTCTCCTTGCTGAACTTCCCAAAGTTTCTGTCAGCTCATTTCATCAGCCTGTCAAGCTTGTGCTGGATTGCAGCATGCCCCTTTGGCCCATCATCCACACTAGGGTCACTGGCAAACTTGCTGACAGYAGGCTCTGTCTCATCATGCACATTCACAAAGAAAGATGTTAAAGTGGACTAGATCATCTACGCAGGCTGTGCTGTCTACCCCCAGGGAGGAGGTAGATGTTACATACCGGTCTCCAACTAGGCTTTGCACAGTGCTCATCACCACACTCAAGGCCCAACCATTCAGCCAGTTTTTGATCCACTGTCGGCTCATCCAGACCCTACAGAACCAGCCTAAGGGGCTATGATAAGGCTGTTATGGGAGACAGTGTCAGAGGTCTTACTGGTAGCCTGTCAAACACTAGCCACTGCTCTTCCCTTATCTAGTGGACATCTCAATTAATAACGTCAATGAAGCACAATTTTGCCTTGGGGGAGACCATACTGTCAACTTCTGAGGAGTTTCCTGTTCTTTATGTGCTTCAAAATAAGTTAAAGAATGACCTGCTCCATCACCTTCCCAGGGATCAACCTGAGGCTGACTGGCCTGTAGTTCCCTGGCTCCTCCTTGAAGATAAAACTGATAGATAGAGGAAACAAGCATTATATCTATATYGACACAATAAACTGTCAGCACATTAGGGTGGTCAGTTCGCTTTTAAGATGCAGTTAGCAATGGGGTAGCTGCTCTCTGCTGCTCTTATATAGAATGATGTTCTAAACATTCGATTAAGTTCACAGTACATTGAGTACACCTACATGAGAAATAAGTGCAGTCTGGCTGAAAAAATGAGAAGTGAYAACCAATGCTAGTCTTCTTGTACAGTCTTTTGGTTAACAGTGGCTTGCTGCTGTGCTTGTGAATACCATATGTTTCACAAGTCATGTAAAGATAATAGGGTATCTCTTTAGAGACATGCTTCAGTCACTTGATCATCCCCATGGATCCTTATTAGACTCTCTCCAGTATACCCATATCTCCTTTACAGAGAAGCCCAGAACCGGGCACAGTACTTCAGGCATGGCCTCACCAGTACTCAGCAGAAGGAACCAATCGCTTCCCYTGACCTGCTGGTAGCACCAAAATAGCTTAGAAACACCAAAGTTAAAAATGATAACCAGCTTACATGGAAGCAATGAGCCACCACTGGGAGTTCCACTGGGATATGTGTTAGAATACATTAGAAATAAAAGCTGACTACAAAAGCAGCAGAAGGGTCTTAGAATTCCAAGTCACTAGAGAGCAATCACTGGCTTTCATAAATGTAAAGTGATGCAGATGAAAAAAAATGACCACAACTACCAACACTTTGCTATGTATTAGCTAGTTCTCTCTTGAGAGTATGAGTACCTTTCCACACAATATTGAAAAGCCACAGTTCCCTGATATAGGTGATTTAATGGTATTAGAGGATTAAAAAGCAGTTAGACAAATCCATTAGAGTATTCATCAAGGGCTGTATGAATTAACACACACATATGCTCCAGGCAAGGAAGTATCTGAGTGACTGCCCACTGGAAAACAAACTTTAGGAATCATCAAGGCACAGCTTCAGAATATTCAGCATTATGGTAGCAAAAATGGCTTCTGCACTTTTGGTGCCAAATCTCTCCTGCTCATTTCCAAACATGGCAGACAGTTCAATAGAAACTGCTGTACGGTTCCATTAAAATAAATTACTTTAAGGACTGATTTTAGTACAGACCACTTTGGCAATATCATTCCTCTACTGGCTTCAAAGACTTAACAGCAAAACTGAATTGGATGGTAATAACAAAAAGCTGAGACTAAGAACCACTTAAAACTGGAGGATCTACAGCTTTTTCTCAATTTCATCCTGCTCTTGACGACTTTCATTAAACAACCACCTAAAGACCATTTCAAGACAAGACAATAATTAAACTAACACTGCACTCAAGAATGTTTGCTACAAAACTTAAGATCATTCTTCCATCAACTCCTTGTTCTAAGAACTCTTAACTACCAAAATTTTAGCAAAGGAAAGGATAACTAGATAATGTAAACAATCTAGTYTGGAAGAGGTAAGCAGAAGGCAAAGAAGGGTTGTGAAATAAAGAAGCATCACTCACACAGCATCACTGTTTACTATTTCTTCTTTAATTTTAACATATTCCAGTTGACTCTCCTGATAAATCTTGAGAGAACTCTGAAGAAGGAAAGCATAGTTAAAATATGTCCATACTGAGGGCAAAAAAAAAAAAAAATAGATGGCATATACCTTACCTAATAAGGTACACCTTCAGTAACAGTGCATAGCCAAAAAGGTATATTCAGTAAGAAAAGAAGCAAGTTGAAGAATGAGGTTATCCTCCTTCTTTAAAGGCAAACATTATAACAAGCAAACAAATACATAAATCTCTATTTGTCTATCTTTTGAGGAAATTAAAGCTGAAGTCAAGAGCTTTAACTACTACACATCATACATATGATCCTATTTTCTCAGAAAAAGTGCCATCAGGACATCAGCTACTAATGCTTTCTGAGGGAAGAGGCATAAAACCATCCCAACATAGAACACAAACTAGGTATAGTGACAACACAATGTTAATATCCTGTCTCATACCATCATGAAAAAATTACAAGAAASAAGGTGGGGTATTTTTTTCAAAAATAATACTAATGTCTAGAATATACATTTAGGTGATTTGAACAATCTAAACCTTCTTCCATGTAGACTAAATCTCAGCTAAGCAATGGGARAGAAGATAGGAATAAATTCAAGAAGCTAATAACATAAAAGCATATGTTCAAAAAGGTAACAGAAGCATAACCCTATTCTGCACAGACCCTTTTTCTTGACACTTTTCAGTAGTACAAGTCATATTCAATAATGCGAAAAGATCAGGGCAGAAAATCAAAGGAGTCTAAATGTTTCTCCTTTCTTCCTAAGTGAGGAAATAAAAACCAAATAATTGGATCAAAAATCATAAAAACTACAACATTCTAAACTTTTTGCCTCTCTGAAACTTGAAGCCATTTAATTAATTGCACCTTAACCCAGAGCTACCTGTCCCAAAGAGCTAGAAATAACAACTGAGCTCATTAAAGTCAGCTTCATTAAGATGAGCATTTAAATACATACATTTCCTTCAACAGAAAAAGGGCAAGTTATTTAAACCTTACAAGCACACCTTTTTTTCTTCCAATTCTGCCTTCAAGGAACCCAACTCTTCCTGGCACTTTTCCAGAGGCAGAATTTTCTGTAACATCTTCTCCACTTGGCAACGAAGAGCAGAGATCTCTCTGAAATGAGATATGCAATTAAAAAAAGAAGTTGCCAAAACCACAAATGTTTTCAAATTCAGTAATCAGATTCTTCAGTCAAGCATCTGACTATTTTGCTTTCATCCTATGGAAAAAATGCTGTGAGACATACCCAAAAGCTTTAAAAGTTTCAGTGTTCTCATTTTTCTACCCATTTAAAGTAAATCCCAGATCTGATTTAAAAATACTACACTGAGCCTAAAGCTATATGCAAGCAGATGGCATGTGCCACTGAGGTATGCTGCCTACACTGAAGTGCCAGTAATAAGTATCTCTGCATACATACAGAGTGATGTAAAACAAGAGCAGAGTCCAACTGCAGTGTTTTTCAGCAGGTGTGATGCAGTCCATAAAAATTATATGCTACCTCTTCCTCTATAATCACATAGAGTAGCAAGGACACACAGCCACAACTCTAAGTCAAAATGCTTCACACAAATATGGATACCCCAAACAGGCTTGTATTTAACCACCACCAAAATATGAGCTTCACATCTCCACTTACTTAAGACTCTTAAAAACACAGGTCCAGGAAAGAATTCCCCACAGGTATTGTAGAAAAACAACAGATTTCTCTCCTCATCAAAGACATTTTTACTAACTATGGCCTACAAAACACAGTAAAAGTATCATACTAAAAGCAGAGCCTATACCCATGGCTGTTGCTATTACAYCGTCAGACTCCTAAAACTAACCACAACACAGAGAACAGAGCATCTTTAGTAAACAATATAAGTCAAACTTACCGTTCAGCAAATTGAAGCTGTAATCTCTTGTTAAGGTAGAAATTAAAAACAGTTTAGCAACTGTCCATATTGTGTATTTCAATCCAACCGGTACTTGCAAAGAAACATTGAGTAAAGATTTCCTCACACAAAAAAACCTCCACAAGACTTGCAGAACTAAGTGTTTTAAACATGCATTTCAATACAAGTGAATAAGCAGAGCTGCTTCTGTGACATGAAAAAAACTGAGTAATTCTYAGCAACGCAGATTGCAAATAGATCATCTCAAATGATATAATAGAAAYACGCAGATCTTAAGTGGATAATTTTAATTCCAAAGGCCTATTTTCTTTACAAAACCTACTCATTTTGTTCTTTATTAGAGACATAATCTTTTAACTTAAACAGAAAGCCTCAAGCCCTTTTATAAGACATGTTATAGGTATACTAATTCTTTAAAAACACAAATAGAAAACTCAAGGATATCAGTGCACTTCTGTTGATACTCCGTCAGCAAACGACTGTAAGAAAAGAAAAAAAAGCCAGGTATTACTCATTTTCTCACCTGATTGTGTGTTAGGGTGTCTTTCCTTTTGCTTTATAGATAGARAAAGTGTAAGATTGGTTTGCATTTTATAATAGTAGTCAATACAACCCTATCATTTCATTAAGCCATTCAAACCTCAAATCAAAATTTGTTAGGTAGAAAAAAAGCCAACTGGCAATTACATGAATTTGTAGCCAATAACTAATTGCAACTTTAAAAAAAATATTGCTTAGGTAAAGGACACAATATACATATATATATATATATATATATATATGTGAATATATATGTATACTAACACACTACCAAATTTGAAAGGATGTTTTTGTAAAAAAGAACGTCTCAGAGAAATAATTTCAAAGACCCAAAAAGGCTTGAATCTTTACATTATTCTCCTAGCAGAAATAAAAGGGTAACACTCACCCTGACCCAAGAGAGCCATGGGACAGCACCAAGAAATATTACTCTTTTCTTTCCTCAAATGTTACATTTTTTTAAGAACAGAGAGAAGAAAGGACAAGAAAGAGTAATACTATGGCAGTTACCCCAAGACAGAGAGGGTTGCATTACTTTCTACTGCAATACTTAAGAGTAATGCAGTAATGCAAAAGAGAAAGGTTGAGCTGCAAGTTGTTAAAGAAGAGGCATTTTCCATAAGAAACATATGCGCTGGCAGAAAGAAGAGAGAGAGACACAAAGTTTAGAGGTTGGAAAAGATCACAAAAAAGTAAAGGAGCTTTGAAAAAAGGGTCCTAGTTAAGAGACCCTAGCTTAAATACTCTCTGGAAGCTGGAATGCAGGACTGGCATTTAGATTCACTAAAGTCAGACTGATATGTATCTGGGAAAGGGTAGTAAGAAACAAATCACTACAATTTGGAGACATAGCATGGATATTAGGGCATGCTATGGTGGTAGACACAACATATCTTGTTATATTATTTCATACAATAATGTGTTGATTGTATTTGAGAAGAATTGCAAGCAAGCACAGAAGAGAAAGCAAACAGTAAGAATTTTATAACCATATKGTCCTGAACAATATTCAGCTTCACTTTTCACATTCTGATATTTAATCCCAACAGAACTTCAGATWTACATCTATACTCAACTTCTAGTTCTCATATATTCTTCACTACAGAAAAATGAAATAAATGAGCACRATTAAATCAATGAAATAATAAATAAAAATAAATTAATAAATAAATAACTTCAAAAAGCTCTTTCTGCATGTATTTCTAATAACCAGAGAATAAATTGAAGAAGTCGTACAGGCCAGATTTAGGACCTGTTTGTGAAAAATTTGCTTTCATTTTGTGAAGCATATAGTGTAGTGCATCAACGAATACCCACATTGTATTTCCGGTATTGTTGTAAATACTTAAGAACAATAAAACCCAAACAAACAAACAAAACTATGTGCAATTGTACTTACTCTCCATCAATCATTTTTTGCTTCAGTGCAATTAATGCAGCTACATATTCATTTATATTCTGTAAGGAAGAGTCTCAGRTCAGTAAGGAACTCACACCCCAAAAAACAGTATTTAAACTACCCCTAATTTGATTTGGTAATGTTATAGAAAATAAAATAATCGGTCTTATTTTTTTCCATTCTCTTTGTGAACAAGTTGTTAAATCACCGAAAGTACATTTATTTAAATACACATGGAGAATGCAGGTTCCACAAGAAAGTATGCATACTTAAATGAGGCCTTAATACAAAAGCTCTTCAAACTTTGCCTACACAGTAGATTCTATACTAAATCCCTATAACTTTTCCCCTCAAAATCCAATTACCCTTTGGCAGAACATCAGCAATAAACATTAGCTCACTTGAGTCTACAATTTTTCCATTCTAAGTGTGTCCTGTGAACTCTCAACWGGACCTTCTCTTCATTTAAAGGAGAAACAAGTATTGCCCAAAGCGTAATACTATAAAAATACAAGCTCGCTTAAGAGCCCTCAAGGAAGTAAATCCTAAATCCTCACACTGAACCGAAGCAAAGCTAAAAGGATACGTCTAGAAATTCCCTGAAGATCCCACTAGGCACGTCGYAGAGACACGAGCTACTTTTCCACACTTCCCCTGGCTAAAGCTCGACACTGCTGCTACTTCCAGAGCCCGTTTGCCACGCACGCCATCCACACTCCCGACGCACCGGGAGTGTTGAGTGTGGTACCCGACACCTCCCACCCGCCAGCGGCCCGGCACAGACCCACTGCCTCCTCCGTGAGCAAAAACCCCACTCTAGCGCTACACGGACGGCGGTCCGTGCTCACCTGCTGGAGAACACCACAGTTGGCGCAGGCCCCGGCGGCGGCCGCAGTCCCGGCCGGCGGCGGCGGCGTCTCCCCGGGCATCATCGTACCCGCGCCTCCGCCCGGCCCCGCAGAGATGCGTGTGCGCCGCTCTAATGCGTCACACACCGCGCCGCTGYCTTAGCAAGGACCCAGTTTGCTCTCCCCTTCTCGAGAGTTATGTCCTCTGCTGCCTGACTAGTAGCAGTAGAAAAGACAGCAAAAAGTGCTCTCTGCAGAGAATGAGCGTTGAAAGCAACCGATGAACAGCGACCTAACCCACTAAAAGGCCCCGCCTGTGCCATACCCTTCAACCAGTACTATTTTCTTCTTTTAGGTGCGGGCGCTTCTGAAGAGAGCCGCTGCGCTCCTGGCCCAGGCGCGGGACAGGGCAGCTTCTTTCCCGTGGTCCCGCCGGCGCGGGGGTGCGGGCGGGGGGAGAGAGGGTCTGAGCACCCCGGGCGGCCCGGGTGGCTGCATCGTGACAGAGCTGCGCAGTTACAGTGCGGCCATGGGGCCAGGCYGGGTCCACTGGAGCCGGAATTGCCTCGGTGATCCTACGAGCCTGAGATGAAACCGAAATCGGCCGGAAAATAAACTAACACAATCTGAAGTMATAGAAAGCAGGCATTCTTCATTACACGCTGGACACTTCGGGAGGATATCTCCTCTACTCGAATGTGTGTCATGAAATTACAGCATGGCATTTATTCCATCGTGATCATACATCCTCATTACAGCATACTTCCTCCCGAATACACAAGCATCCCTGTTCTGGAACTAATTTGCATGTGTCCGCCTCCTGTTGGAAGTCTTTTCAAGGTCCTAGAGGGTTGTCTGGAGGGGTCTCTGATGGTCGTACTCACTGAGTGCCCCGGTATTACAGGTGACCTTTCGTCGAACTTTGGGCATTGCTGTTGCTTCTTGTTACATAACTATTCAAAAAAATCCTACTATATTCCTCATTATCCACTGGTTCCAGCTACATTTATCATCCTATGTGCATACTTTTGCATTCTTCTATCTTTTCTTTTGCTAATTAGTCTTTAAGCTCTATCTAGGAACTTCAGGGGAACTGAAAATTTCTATTCTCTAWGTTATCTCTTGGGGGCGAATTGCCCTGGCTTTCAATCACTTAGAGGAACAGAAGTTAAAATAGTAACTGCTTACTGTATTGTGCCACCCTGTACTACTGTTTGAGGTATGGTAGCAATCACTCAGTATTTAGTAGACAGGACAGTTGCTTGCACACAGTGTGAATTAGTTTGTGATTTTTTTTGTTCAGCTTACAGTGTTGGACTTTATTCACTGAATGTTGCTGCTTGCACTTCTAATCTATGGCTTACAATTTATCCAATTGCTTTTTCACTGTTGTCTTCCTTGTAGTTTGTACATATTCCTCAGGGGAATCAAAATTCATCTCTATTTCAGGACATCATGTTAAATCTTCCTTCTGATGTGTACAGCTTCACGGTTATCTGGACCCTGATGAAGACATTGGAACTTTTCAATCCAGTGTAATTGCTCTGATGAAACACAGTATTTCTGGCTTTTTTAATCTTTCTACTTTGAGAGCCTTACAACAGTATAATAAAATACTCTTTAGAACAGCAGTAGAATTTATGTGTCAGTGTCTCTGGAATGAATTTACCCTCTGGGCTGAGTAAGTTTTCCATATGAAATGCCATTCCAGGGGAATGGAGCTGAGTACTACTAACTTTAGATTTGATAGTGTATTTGCTCCACAGCAGGTCTAGTGGAGCACACCCCTTGTTAAGTTCACTTGCCAGTTGTGTCAGGAAGTTCCACACACTCTGGGAAACTCCCAGACAGCCTTCTCTCTGCTGTGTTGTGATTCTAACAGAGGTGTGGCAAGGTAAARTCTCTTGCAAGAACAAGGTATAGGGATCATGAAACATCAGATAGCCATTACAGAATACTTCATCTCCCTCTTCATCCTGATTGGGTTGTGTATAACAGAATTCCATGTCTGCCTTGTTGGCCTTCCCCCTGATTCTTACCSATATGCACTCAATCTTTTCAATACTAGCCTTAAGCTCTATACAATTGCAACACTCCTTAAAGTACACTTATTCTAAAAAAGGTCTTAAGTTTTAATGCTTCAGACTCTGAATACAAGGCAGAATTAGGCAAGTAAATTTATGAAAATTTTGTATTGCCTTTTTTTTGTTGCATTCCCATTCCTTGACAAGAAAATATTTTTAAACTGTTTTAACACACTGTACAAAAACTAGTTACTAAAGCATTGCCTTAAAAAAATTAAAACTTTAAAATTCTAAAATTTAAAACAAAGAGTATGAAATAATAATGTAAATTATATGGTTTTTTTAAAAAATTGTACTTAACTTGATTAGGCCAAGAAAGAGATTGTAGGGTATGGAATTTCAGATTCTGCTTCATTATATTTCAACTGATGAGCACCTCAGAGTTCAGAGAAGATACATGGGAATGCATGGGAAAGGACATATATGACCTAAAAGAGGAGGTTATAAACCTGAAATTTAAAAAGTCTTGTAAGTTCAACTTACACAGACCTAAGATGTTGTCATGGTTTAGACAGATGTATGCCATGTGTATGCCATGTAGTCCAAGTCATAGAGACTTGGTCTCTTTCGTTGATGATAAAAAGAAAATTGGCCAMTTCTTTAGCTGTGAATCTCCTCAAAGATGAATGGGGATATTTAAAAAGAATGAAATTATGCCTGCAGGGTTATTGTGTTTATTTAGCAGAACTGRAATAGCCAGCAGCACATAAACATGATTTCTTTACTGTTGCTTGTAGAGACAACAGTGTCCTTCCTGGTTTTCATGAATGGTGAACAGAAAGGTGTAGATATTCCCAAAGAATTTCTGTGCAAAAAAAGCCTTAGGTGGTCATTCATAGAACAAAAGTCTCATCATTTCATCACCGGGAACTGAAGGCAATATTGGTAATAGGCAAAATTAGAGAGACTGAAGAAGAAATGAAGATGCCTAACCATTTTCACAGCTTGTCAACATGACGACATCATGGTCTCTGGCACTCTTAGCTTTATAGCAGAAAAGTTTATTAACTATAGTAGTATGAAAGAAATCTAGCACATTTAGATTGGATATTAGTTCACTGAAAAAGGATTGTCAAGCACTGGAACAGGCTGCTCAGGGAAGTGCTTGAGTCWCTATCCCTGGAGGTATTTAAAAGCCATGTAGGTCTGCCACTTAGGGATATGCTATAGTGGTGGAACTCAGGACTAAGTTAACAGTTGAGCGTGATTATCCTACAGGTCTTTTCCAACCTAAATAATTCTATTATTCTATTACTTTAATACTACTTCATGAAGATGTGCTGCTTCCACCTATCTCAGTTGTAGTCACAGAGTGACTTCCTATGCAAGATTTCTATGCAGTCTTTCAGTGGAATCTCTTGTTTTAGCTAGTCTTGCCTATTTCAGATTCTTGTAGTGTTCCTCTACTGACAGTCTAARGTACAAGATTTCTGAAATACTTTACACCTCCTAGCATGGAAACACAGATATATAGAATGCCCATTCTTTTTACTAAAAAGACAACACATCAGGATGAAATCATGTTTCACTTTTTCTTGCTTCCTATCCATAATACTCTGGGATGCAATAATGGCAAAGAAGCAATTCATTTAAGACAGACTTGAAACAGCTATTTTATTTAGACACAAGGAACAAGAATACTACAATTTTGCTATTTTAAATATTACAGCACAATAGGAATAAAATAGCTTTCAAGAGGCCTCTAAAGTTCCATAGTCTAACCTGCTCAAAGTGAATTTACCTGCTAGGTAAGTGTTAGGAAAATTAATCCACAAACACYRGAGGTTTATGTCCAAAAAGGAGACAGAGGAGTCCTGTAACTTTATTCAAATAAAGGGAGAGGCCATGGGACATTTCAGTGGGGGCTCTCAAATTGCTAAAGGATGGAGCCTCTTTTTTATCCTGATTTCCTGGCTGCATTTCCCTGTCTCTTTCCCATTGCCTGAGGTACTTGAGAGGTACAGACTCCCTGAATTGCCTAATACAGACCCCCATCTAATATGCATTCCCCCCCCTCCATCCTTTTTTATTCTTTGTGTGTCTGCTGTTTTTCTCTAAATAGAGGTTTTAGCACTGCCTTGGGTGAGTAACAGTCTGTGTCAATTGGTGAAATTCCTATGGAATTTATGGTTCCTCCCATTGCTCCTTTCACCTATYGGTATCTGGCCTTATCTACCAGCAGACCACACTGTTTGTAAAGACGTCTCCCTCTCATTCCTTCCAAACCCTCCTTTTCTTATCTTCTCAGTAACTGTCTTTACAAACCTTAGTTACCTTTCACTTAATTTTCTCTTCCCGGGTCTTCTTTGAATTTGTGATTTTTTGCAGAGACATGATTTTCTGTCTTTTTGTAGCCATTTCTGGATCAGTAGGAATGGCTACTCTTTGCATCACCTTGATCACATGCTGAATGAGCTGCATCAAGCAAGGTATCATGCATGGTAAAAAGATTAGAGTTGCTATAACACATAAGAGGAAAAAASCATTTGCTTAACCCATAGTCCACCAGGTAACCATGAAAACATGTCCCATTCCCATCCTTTCCATGTTTGGACTGGTACATGAGCTAACTTTCTAATTCCCTTTGTTATTTGTTTCACCACTTTTCTGTTGTCATCGATTTGCAAACAGCAATTTGAGTCATTTAATTTTCCACACACTTCCTCTTCTGCTAATAGATAATTCAGTATCATCTGATGCTGGAATATCACATTCCTCATTTGAGGAATGGATTGATCAGCAAGACGGTCAAGAGCTGTAACTCTCTGGTCAGTTATTATTTCAAAGACAGCTTGTAGCCTAATTATCCAATTCAAATTATAAACGGGTTCTCTGGCACCTGATATTAATTCATTTGGATTCCAAGTATGATTCACTCTGATGGTCATTCATATTTTCCCCATTTTTGGGTGCTCCCTCCAGTCAAGGATGCATCAATTGACTGTTTTTTTTTTTTCCTAAACAGATCATCATATATTTTGACTCCTAATTGATTTCCCTGAATTTGTGGTAGCAAAAAGAATAATGGTCTAATATACCCTACATAACATATCTCTGACCCATTTGGAGGTAACTGACAATAAACATGTTGACCACAAATCCAATGATGCCTTTTCAAAGCCCACATTCTGTTAGCAATGAGGCCTTTACAATTTCCACCAATTGGTCGGTCAGAACACAGCTTCTTTCCTGGGCCTAACAGTCCCCCAACAATAGGTGCCCCACCATAGGAATCACAATACTTGCATTTCTAAGCTCCCACATGAGGTTTCCATCTACAGTCACATTTTGTTAGATCTTGATTAGAACTTACTAARAAGGGTTTGAGTTCCATTCCAGTGTTRCCACTTCCACTGAYAGTCACGGACAACATGTGTCTTGTGGRATTATCTTGGGAGCAGCTTAAAAATAAATGGTAAAAAAAACTCTCCCCCCCCTACTGCTTTACAGCCTTCAAAATTCCTTCGGTAATTATGGTAGGAACACCTTACCCAGCTACCATTAATGAGCTTAACATGTGTTTGATTCCATCTGCCTTGATATTTGGAACAGTCGCAAGGAGGGCATTTGGGGGCCCAAGTATCTAAACCCTATCTCAATCTAGATTTTAAAAGATAAAGTCCAGTCACAAACACTTTTTCCCACGTATAGACCCCCTGTCCTATTTAGACAATAAAAGCCTATTTCAGAASAATGAAGTTGCCATGGACTTCCTTCCTCATCCCMAAATCCTGTTCCATTATGGACCTAACTTAAGAGTGCTGACCCACCATTTAGGTTTGACTGGGCTGGCCACCCATGGTGATTCTTCAGATCCTCCTGGCTCTCCGCAGTCCTGACAATTGATAAGATTAAAGGTTTTTGCTACTTCTTCTCCTAGGGTTAAAATCTATTTTCCCACCTCTGGCCCAAACCTAACTGACAACATAAAGGTGTGGTTATTAAGAAACACTGTAATGATACAATCTAACTATGTAATCTACTTCTCATGTTGTCTTCTGCACCACCTGTGGAGAGTGAAGGCACAGAAACAACTTAACATAAAGAAAACAATGACAGCAAGTATTTGCCCGTCAATGACCAGAGATCCAAAGGAGGGATGCCCACACAGGCTATTTTGGCAGGCTGTCTGCGGGTAGGTACACAGGGCTTCCTCTGATATCAATGCACTGGCTACTGCTCCAGKCYGCTCCTGCAGAGTGTCAGYCATRGCTTCCCATCCTTCTCCTCCAGCTCATATATCCAAATCTCCAGGGCTTTAGAGACCTTGACCCAAGTGTGATGGGTCCACCCATGTTCAGCTGTCTTGATGCCTGTATCTGTGGTCACTAACACTGGGAAAGGTCCATGCCACTTCACCACCAGTGGTTCTTCTTTCCAYTGCTTAACCCAATCTGRTGGTTRGATGTTGTGAACAGCAAAGTCCAAASGTAGGCTCTGTGCCAGCTGAGCTTCCTGTCAAAGAGATTTCACAAGAGACAGTATCCTGGCCACCTATTGTTTTAAATATACATCACTTAATTCCAGCCCTCTCCACTAAGCTGAGAATTATGAGGGTAAGGAATTCCAAACATCAATTCAAAGGGAGATAATTAAATATCTCTCTGGGTCTGGCCCTTATTCTTGCTTTCTTGCTAAAGTCAGTGTCAAAAGCCATTACCATGGCATCTTAGTTTCTATCACTAGCTTCAAAAGGTGTTTCTTTATTTCCCTGTTTTCCCAAATGCATGTATCACCTCATATGTATAYTTAGAGTCAGTAAAAATACTCACTRTATTGTCCTGTTMTAATTCACAGGCTCTTACAAGYGCATACAGCTCTGCTGTTTTAGTTGACCATGTGAGCAGTAACCTCTCCCCTTCCTTTAATTCCCTTCCATTAATGATAACATATCCTGTAATTCATCTACCACCCTTGAAGACCCATCCATAAACACATTTTTTCTTCAGGCCAGGGAGTGCCTTGTAAATCTTCCCTAGCCTGGGTCTGGAGATCTCTCACTTCAATGCAGCCATGGGTTTCTTCCTGGCCCCCCTCTTCAGGGCTGCTCAAACAGGAGGCTGGGTTAAACCCTTCCCCACGTCTCAATTCTAAATCCTCTTGTTCTATTAAACAAGTTTCATACTGTAATAACTGAATGCTGGTCATCCACTTAGAGGCTCTTTCAGTCAAYAAAGCTTTAACTTGATGAGAAACTTTAACAATCAGGTATCCTGCTGTTGTCAGATTTTCTGTTTCTGGACCTCAGTTACCAATAAAGTCATGACTGCACAATTCTGCAGACAATGAGGCCAGCCTCTGCCTGCTGGGTCTAGCAGCTTACAAAGATAAACAACTGACCACCGTGCTCCCCCATGTTCTTGTACCAAAATTCCTTTAGCATGGCCCTGTTT